CCCTGTTTAGCATGTTTGTTGATGACCTGGACAAAGGGGTCGAGTGCAGCCTCAGTCAATTTGCAGTGATGCCAAACTGGGTGGTAGTCCAGATCGGCAGAAAGGCTCTGCAGAGGGATCTGGACAGGCTGGATCATGGACTGAGGCCAATGGTGTGAGGTTCAACAAGGCCCAGTGCTGGCTCCTGCCCTTGGGTCACAACAACCCCAGGCAACGCCACAGGCTGGGGCAGAGTGGCTGGAAAGGACCTGGGGGTGCTGGTGACAGCAGCTGAACATGAGCCAGGCTGTGCCCAGGTGGCCAAGAAGGCCAATGGCATCCTGGCCTGGATCAGTAATAGTGTGGCCAGCAGGAGCAGGGCAGGGATTGTCCCCCTGTCCTGGGCACTGGTGAGGCCACATCTCAAATCCTGTGTTCAGTTTTGGGCTCTTCACTACAGGAATGTCATTCTGGTGTTGGAGCGAGTACAGAGAAGGGCTGTTGAAGGTATTGGAGGTATTGAAGGGTCTGGAGCACAAGTCCTATGAGGAGTGGCTGAGGGAGTTGGGGGTGGTTAGCCTGGAGAAAAGGAGGCTCAGGGAGGACCTTATCAGTCTACAAGTACCTGAAAGGACAATACAGATGAGGGGGGTTCAGTTTTTTCTCCCAAGTACGAAGTGTTAGAACAAGCAAAATTGGCCTCAGGGAAAACGCACTAGGCAAGTTTTGTATTAGACATTATGAAAAATTACTTCACTGAAAGAAGAATTGTCAAGTTGTCAAGCATTGGAACAAGCTGTCCGGGAAAGTGGTTGGACTCACCATTCCTGGAAATGCTGAGGACATGTTTTAGTGGTGAATATGGTGGTGGTGCTGGGTTGATGATTAGACTTAATGAACTGGGAAGTCTTATTTTAAGAAAAACCTAACCATTCTATGAGCTTTTCTGTCATATGGCTTTTCTTAAGGCAGGCTGCAAGAAGGCTTAGGAGGTAAATAGGGAAGTAAGCTTTGCATTGCCTTCAGGCCCAGTTTATCTCTGTGTTGTTGTGGAGTCTGGAGCAAAGATAAAAAAAGAGGCTTCCCTCCCCCATATCAGGAACTTTTTCCTCTTGGTTGCCTATGTGGAATTCCTGTCAGTGTAAATGAAAGTAAATAGGTGCATTGAAGATGGATATATGACTTGAAGAAGTGGAGCTTCAGTTTGTGGTTTGGGAAAGCAAAAATTCTTTTGAAACCTGTCTTTGAAACTTGAAACCCTTGAAAACAACAATTTATTTTTTTTTAAATGAAACAGGATCAAAACCAGGAATGTTGACATAAATATGAAAGGATGTGTTTTAGAGCTGATGCTTCACTTGCCTTAAGATTTCAATATCTTAATTGCCCATAAATCCTGATTTTTAACCATCCCTAAAATTCCATGAAAACAGTGAGTCTCCTGATGCATATTAGGAACAAAACATGTAAAGGGAATTAAGCAGCAGGGTTCTTTTCTACTTCCCTTACCCCATTATTTGGAATTTGAACAAGTTACAGTCTTTACTTCTGTAAAGCAAAATCTGTAATGTTTGCAGCTTCTCTGTATTCTGTACGCTTAAAATCTTACAAAGTTGCATAATCAGGTCAAACATTATAGTGGCTGAGGTTTTCAAGCAGATTCTATATAAAAAAATTACAGTCACATACTTATGACTTACAAAATGTGACTGACTTTGTCAAAGTTTCTTGGAAACTCAAGTCATTAATCATGTTTTTGTTCTTGCTTTTTCTTTAACCACCAGTAATTTAAACTGGAGTTTGTTCTTCAGAGTATATACAAGAGTGAAAAGGCAATTTCTAGTATTCCATTGTTTTTATTGAAAATGTTTATTAAAAGGTCAAATAGTCTCTTCCAGACAGAAGATAAACCTTCTACTTTGTGAAATCCCTTGAAGAAGGTTATGCTTGAGCACAAAATCCCCTTTAGTCTGTAATGTATTCCAACATAAAACTCAGAATAAAAATGAAAACTGGAAAAATTACAGTGACCTTTACATGTACTGAGTTCATCTAAACATGGACTTGAGCTTCTGTTTATGTATTTTATGTTTATATTGTGAACTGAGTTCTGTCATGTTGTATTGTGCCACATGGGCTGTTTCCCAAACATTGCTTCCATGTGCATTCTTTGTGAGTAAGCACAAAGAATAAGCAGATACAGAGCAAGAATAGAATATGGCCCTCACAAATCTAACAGTATAAAGAATATATAATACTACAAACTCAACCCTCCTCCTCCTGTAGGGCTGGTCAGCACCAGTGCAAGAGACTCCTCTGTATTTAAATCAGAAATAAGGAATGGTAAGTTATAATTACTTAATAAATATTTTTGTCAGATATGGAAATCTTCCAAGAAAACATTTCATATGCTTTGATAAACTCAGTAAACTCAAAATACATAATAAATGGCTGCAAATTACTGATAATGTTCCCCTTAGGTGAAAGCAAACCCTTACTATCCTTATATCCCTCTATCTCTTTTTTCTTTTTTTTTTTTGTCCAGAACTGTAATGATTTTGCAGATCTTCATAGTGTTTTTCTATCACACACATAAGTATATGTTTGCAAAAAATTCTCTTTGTTGAGTCAAGGCTTAATAAGTAGTTGAACATCATCAGTGCTGCTCTAGATCCACGTATTAGTCTTGCAGCATCTGTACTGTCTTCCCATGCTTTAGGTTGGGTACAAATTCTGAGCTAACACTTCTTTTTTTAAGAACTTATGACGCTAAAAGTTCCTTCTTTTCTTTTTCCATCTTTTTGCCTCTTGCTTACCCCTCTTAGTCTCCCTTTTTTCCCTGATCCACAGCACTCTGCACCTGATGATCTGTTTTTCTCGCTCCCCTGTGCAGCTCTTGGCCAGCCCATTGACACTACCACGTCATCCTGTCACTTCCACTGCAGGGGCAAGGATGTGGGAGTGAAGCTGAAGTGTTCTTGTGTGGAGATGTATATAGAAGAGCAGTAGAGTGAGGAGGAGGAATAGCACCATGCTGTGACACAGTGGATGTTGGCAGAACACCCTTCTGCCTGGCAATTGGCAGAGGAAGAAATGGACAACTCAGGGAGCGGGTCAACACCGCTAACAATAGTAAGCTAAGCAGTAAGGGTGTGTTGTAGAGTGTATGCCTTGTGGGGAGAGCAATTTGAGGACATGTGAATACAGGCTAGCTGAAGGTATCTGAAAATCTCACTGGGCTGTGTTGGAGAGCAGCCCACAGCCGTGCTCTATGTGGCTCAGGCAGCCCTTTCACAGCACTTGCAGCCCACCCCCGCCGCAGTGTGCTGTGTCTTGCCTGGCACACAATAAGCCCCTCAAGGGCTGTTCTCTGTGGTGCTCCTTAGATGTATGCACCAAGCCTGATGAAACTGAACAGTAATCAACACTACTTTGCTCACTTTAACATAAACTTTCCCTTATATTGTTGCCCTACTTTTTATGATGTAAATAATATCAGACAGTTCCAACTTTTCCAACTAAGTGTGGATAGCAAGCTGCGATGGGGCCAAGCTGGGCTACCTAGATTTCTGATATGACAGAGGTTCATCAGCGAAGCTGATACATACAGCATTGTACAGGACAAAGAGAGCTATGCAGCAGGATGGGAAGCTGACGATGTGTTTGGGTTTCTCACTTGCTCCCTATCTCCTGTACTTTCTTAACATCAGCAGTGCAAAGGCTAGAATTTTCTGAGGTAGAGGACAAACAATGGGATAATGATATCCTAACGGAACACACAGTGCTGAAAACTGTTGTAGTTGAAAGAAGTTTTTTTTTTTTTAAATTGACTTTGGCTAAGTTATTGAGTTTGGGAGTTTGCTAAAACAAACAGCCCCTTCCCGTAGTCTCCATCTGGTAAGTTTGAGTACTCCCAATGCTTCTGAACTCTTTAAATGAAACAAAGGAGCAGATGATACATTCCTCAGTTTGCCAGTCAGAGCCCTCTAGAAACCAAATTTGCTCCAGTATGCAATCTGCACGACCCCTTTTAGTGACATTCTTCAACTGGGAAAAGTGGAGTATTTAAATTCCTACCAAATCCAAGTCTACACACCAGAGCATCCCCATTTGTTTTGACTTCAAATATGCCTAAGAGAGAATCTATTCTAATATATGTTAAACCTTAACAGTTGACACTAAACACCTGACTGCAGAGCAGGCAGAGAAACTTGTGAGGAGGCTTTGCAAAGACAACAGCTGTAATGTTACCAGAAGACACAAAGAAATGTGTGGTCACCATTTGCTGAACATAGAATGGGAGGCAAGAGAGGTTTTAGAGTAAAAATCACGCTGATCTCAGAGGTGAGCATTTGGCAGTCAGCAGGACTGGGTGAGGCTGCCTTATCTACATCCTTCTGACACTCTTCTACATCCCTGACCAGGCTGGTGGTTCTCTGAAGGGCTGCTTGCAACAGTTCTGGACTTGTCCCTCCTGAACTTACAAAACCCTTACTTGGCTGTTTAAGCACATTCAATTCACTTTTGGGGCCATCTTCTTGTGAGTGGTATTAAGCATATTGGCTTATTCACCATTGGAGTCCATGATTTTAAAGGCCTTTTCCTACCTAACCAATTCTGTGATACTATTAATTTAAAGCCATTAAACACATTTCAATTTCCAGGGCTCCCAAAGGGCAGACTCCAGACAGGGTCCCCACAGCGTTGATTTCGGTGGGCGTCGCCAGGATCTCTGGTTCTCTCCGAGCCACCTCCACCGGTGCTAGTGGCCCGAGTCCCGACAACGCGGTCCGTCCTGGTCCACCCCAGCTCTCGGCCGTCCCCCGCCGCGGCCCCCGCCCGCCTGCGGGGGGGAGACCCGGCCAATGGCCCGCCGCCTGCCGCCGGCCGTGCCCGGCCCCGGGGCCGCCCCCGTTAAACGGCGGGGCCCGGCGTGGAGCAGCGGCCGTCCCTCGCCGCCCTGCCCGGCCCGCGGCCGCCATGGGGTGCGAGAGCGGCGCCGCGCTGCTGCTGCTGCCGCTCGCCCTGCAGCTGTGCCCGGGCCGCGCCGCCGCGCCCGCCCCCCGAGGTAAGGGCCCCGCGCCCCCGATGGAGCGCGCTCCTTTTCCCTCTTCCACTGAGAAGCCTTTGGGCTTGCAGTATCTCGTCTCCTGCCCTCCGCCGGGAGCCCTGCCTGGCAGGGCAAGAGAACACCTGCAGGTGCGAGGGGAGCCGGAGCCGTAGCGGGCAGCGGGAGCCGCCCCGCCGCCGCGCTGCCCCGCCGGACTAGCGGTGGGGACCGGAGGAGACGGCGGTGTAGCCGCTGTCAGCCGCCCCCATGCAGCCTGCAATAAGTGTTTTTGTGGGTATGCTGGTAGGTGCGTGGAGAACCTGAGCAGCTCTTTTTCGGCTGCAAGTACTCCTAAATGAGAAGTGAATTTCTAAGCCAGGAAAACTCTTCGGGAAAACTCTACTACATAGTATAGTATATAGGAAAAATCATACTTCGAAACCCAGCATTGCTGTGGCAGCATTATGCACGTAGTAAGTCAGGAGCTGCTGTATTTCAGAACTCGAGTTAAGTGGGTGGTATCGCTCTGCGGTAGCAGCTTGTGACTGGAACCAGCTCGGCTGCGGAGTGCAGCAGTCAGTGCAACTTCGTGCTACTCCAGGAGCCTTAAAGCTGCTCGTGGTTTTCGCTTCATTTTTAACTCCCTCCACTGCCTTACAGAATGATTTTTGACACTTCAATTGGCTATTACTTAAGCAGATCTAAAAGACAGCCAATCACAACAATACAGCTTCATTTCCAAAAGCCTTTGTTGAAGACCTTTACGATGTGAAAAAATTCCAGAGAATTGTTGTAATGACAAGTTGTGTATTACCGAATTAAAAAAAACAACAACAACAACCAAACAAAAACAAGTAGGTTTCTAACTTGTCAGGGTCAGGTGCCAATGAAAAACTCCACTCTCAACAAGGGGTGCTTTCAGCTCCTTGGGGTCAGTGGTAAATTGTTGTGGTAGGGGTTAGGATTTCACTCCAAGTGTCTAAGCCATTAATAATTATCTTGGAAAGTAGTGGAGCACTGTTTACATCTACAGTTATGATTAGATGTGACCAGAAAACAGCCTTGGAAGGTCTTACAATGCTGGTGTGACATGGCAACAGAGTTAGGGGAAAGAAGGGGTGTTTTAAGTTCCATGCTGTCCTGTGTCGCTAATTTCACTCCTCCATGCCTCCTCATCCTAGCACTTTGCAGCATGTCTTCTAGCTCTCATCTGAAAAGCTAGCCTTGATGGGTTTGGGCAGATTTCCAAAGTGTGGTTTCCCACTGTCTCAACATGTAGCTCATCCCTTGTTAGCATTTGGCTAGGAGGGTGAGCTGCTCTATGCTAAAAACCACGGAAGGAAGGTGAAGGAGTGGATTCCTGGTCTGTCTCACAAGCAGGCTCAGTTTAGCCCAGTGGGTGTGCAAACTCGTGCTTGAAGGTATGAAGGCATGTCGGAGTTTTCAGTCCATTGCATGGATTAAAAACAGCTGCTTGTGCTTTTCAGCTTTGGCAGTCCCATTCCATACATTTGCTTTCAAGTCTGCCTTTCCGTGGAGAAGAACAAAGAGACGAGGTTCTTCAAAAAATGAAATGTGAAATCTTTGTAGATATTTTTTTTCCCTGTTCCTCCCAAACAATTAACTGTCTCTATAATGGCCAAGAGCTGTCTCTCTCTGCCAACTCTGCTAAAGATGTAAAATGAACTTTCATAACTCCTCATTCTTCTGCTAGCTGTACTTGCTAGCATGTGTGTAAGTTGTGCTTTAAGGATGGATCTGGTCCTGCAGTGCATCCACATGCTGGTCAGTGAAGATATCCCAGGAAAGAGTTTAATATGGTGCTGAAGGATCTGGCTGAGGCACTGTGCTTTATAGAACACAACTGCCAAACCAATTTGAGTATTAATTTAAATATTCAGATTACCAAAATTTCAATAAATGTTTTCTATCAGTTTAGACATTTCACAGTGTTTAGTCATTACTTTTGTAATATTTTTAAGTGACTCTAGCATAGATTAATGAGTATCACAGGAATTGATAGAAATTCAGCCAGTAGATCTAGAACTGAATAAAATGTCTAGCTATATTTCATACTCTCAAAGTCTTTGCTATTGTATTGAATTGTCCCAGCTGAGGAAACACAGCTGTATTTTATGAATGGCTATTCCTTGCAAAATGCTGTTGTACAGAGTAGTGAGTTGCATTTCGATTTCTTTCATGGCCAGTTGCTTTGCTCTCTCTGCACTAAATGTGATGAAGTACCCAGCCTTTTGCTTCTGCTTTCCACATCACTGGTTTCAGTGGGAGCAGTCATAGTCCTGGGATGCTGTGAATCTGAACTGAAGTCTTTTGACCAGATCCATCTTATGTGTATGTTTCCTAGTTGTTTGACAGCAGTGTTACTAGTGCATGTGAATCAAGGGCCTGATATTTTTTGTAGTGTGTCCTGAAAATTCTCTGTAAAGTCATGAGATCCTTAGACCCAGTACAAGTATAGACTTCAGAGATGATTTCAATGACTTAATGATACAAAGGGAAAAGGGTCTTTATTTTTTCTCATTTTTGGAAATAAGATTAGTGTCTAAATGAGTGGATGCTTCAGAATAAGAGATGAAGGCAGCAGGAACCCACATTCTAGTATAAGGGAACAGGGTTTCCCACATATCTGTGGTTGTTCTTTGAGTGCTCTTCAGTCTTTTCCCGTGTGTAGTGTATGGAAACACTGGAATAGTAGGATGACTTCATCGTCTCACAGACAGCAACAGTTTTGGGGTTGTGCTGCGTAGACAAGGCCTACATCTGAAAAAGTACACCGGTGTTTTTTCAGCCTGGGAAATGAAACTTATTAGTACAACCACAGGCTTGAATCAAGCTAAGGCACTATGTGCTGTCACATGCCTTTGCTGTCCACCTGGTGTTACGGCTCTTCTCTTGTGACAGCTCTACAGTATTGTTCTTGTGTGGGAGAAAAACGTGGCCCAGCTGTGGTAGGCCTATGGAGTGTCAGTGGTATATAATGGCTCAGTGTGCTCTAACGCTTAAATAACACTTGTGCATAACCATTTATCAGACTTTACTGCCAGGGTATAATATATATACTGCTTTAATTGCAGTGGGTTGGAATAGGAGATAATCAAGAAACCTAACGGAAGAGTTTAATGAGTTCAGAGATGTTGTGGATTTAGGAACATCGAGGAAAACCCCAGTTTGTTGTTTCAGTGCCATAAGGGACATGGCTGACATATATATGTGTAAAATGATAGACTGTTTGCTGATGCATTGTGGAAAAACTAAAATAAACATTTGAAACAGCTTTCACTATGCCTTTAGGGTTTGTGGGTTTTGTTTTGTTTTGGCTTTTTTGTCAGGCCTGTATTTCTTTGTCTTCTGTGCCAGAAGGGAAAGATGAGTCTTATTTGGATAATATACACTCTGAAAAGTCAGTGAAGTGAAAAGAAGATTGTGAACATCATATTGCTTACCTGCCTTTTTGGCATTTTAATTGGCACCCTGCAAATGCTATCAAAGGATGAGCACTCTGGAAATATGTCTGAAAATTTTAATGCTGAATCCTTTTCTAATTGATATGTGAACACAAACATCTGAATTCATGAAAGCAGAAATAAACGTTAAAAAGTTTTCTGTTGAGGTGAATCTTCAGAAGAGCAGAACTTTTGAGATCTACCTAAATTGAGTACCTGAATTGGAAGTCTAGATATTTCTATATTACTAACTTATGAATAATTTCTTTGAAAAATAAAAGTTGCTAAAATAGTATCAGTTGCAACAAAATATAGATATTTTGATAAAATCACAGAATAGTTGTAGCTGGCAGGCACCATCTAGTCCAAACTCCCTGCTTGTGTGGGGATATGTTTCACTAGACCAGATTGCTTAAGAGATCCCTTCCAGTGGCAGGAATTTGAACTTCGTGTTTTTTTACAGATGATCATCATATTAATTTTTTTTAAATTTTTTTTTTAATTTTCGGCAGAAAAAGTGTAAAGTCTCCAATGTGTGGCTTCAAATCACGTTTTTCTTTGCTGTTTAATTAAAATTTGCACATTTAATTTGCTGTTGAAATTTGCTTCTTTTCCTTCCCTCCAGTTTTTGATCTTCTTCCTTATTCCAACAAGCGAGTGGTACTGAACTTCTTGCAACAAGCTTTTGGGGATCCTGTGCCGAATGAAGTGTACTTGCTTTCAACATTCAAATTACAGCCAAAGAGTACAGCCACTGTTTTTGGCCTATATTCATCAGCTGACAACAGCAAGTATTTAGAATTTACGGTAATGGGACGGATGAGTAAAGGTGAGTTGTTTGGAATGTGTATGGTAGAACTGGCGTTGGATCCATAGTCACTGGTGTGTGACAGATGAATGTTGACAACTGTGTGATTAATCTTTGTGCTTGAGTCATTCCTGTTGCATGCTGTCACTTTCTGCATTCCCTGTCACTTCTTCATCTCCTTCCTTCATCCCCTTGATGCTGCTCTCTCCTGGCCAAGGGAAGCTGACCTGACAATCAGCTGGTATCTCGACTCAGCTGCAGTGCTTACTCTGAGCAATGATGAGAAAGGAGGAAAAAGCCATGGAGTATGGAGCAAGGAGTCAATTTGGTTTGGTCTTTTTTTTTTTTTTTTTTTTTTTCCCCTAGGGACAATCACTGGTTCTTATTACTCAGGAATTCAAGGGACACACGCACATGCTGCCTCATGCATATGAAAGGCAGGTTCTTGTTCTGCTGACCCTGGAGGTTAGATGTGACTATACAAGACAAATATTCCTGGCTCTTACAAGATCTGTTGGGTGAAATGAAGTGTTTATTCTTTATTTACTGGAATTAGTTAATCAGGAGTCAGAGTATGAACTACAGAAGTTTTAGAAACAGTGACTTTCATTGATCTGCAAACCAAATCTAGGATATACTGCAGTTTTAGGGTTCAGAGAAAGATTGTTGATTTATGTATGTTATTGTTGCTACATTGAATTCACCACTGCTGTAGTAATTTGCTACTGAGTAATTAGCTGAATCGAATATACTGTGAAATTCTACTGAGAAATTTCAGGTTATACATAGGGATATTCAATATGCTGCAAAAGAAGAAAAGCACACCTTTTCTTTAAACATTGCTGGGGAACAAATTAGATAAAACATTGGTAGTTAGTTTTATCAAGTCTGCCAAAATCCTTCTGAGGGAATAAAAGTTATGTGTATATTGGGAGTGGTTAATACATGGTCACACAGCCTCATCAAAAGTGTCATAAGACTGACTTACTTAATTGCTAAATAAATTGTAGACTACATATGCTCACTCTCCCTCTCACACATGCACAGTTCTTTGTGTAAATGTTGTACATATATATAGGAACGCACATGTATACACACAAATGTGTCTATATACATGCAACTTTGAACACATCAAACTCTGTTTTTCAAAAATATCTGCATGTCTAATGGTTACTGACAGTCTCTTAAGTCTGTTAAAGTGTTTTTGGTGGAAGTTTACATGGTTTCTTTTGGTTTTGTCCTCAGTAGGCTGGTGTTTGAGAAGCATTTGTATTGACAGGACAAACGCAATAGTGACATATGTATAGGCAGTACAAAGCAACTTGTCCTGTCAGTGACCGGTGTTGGGTAGATGGGGGGACATCTGTAACCTCTGTGATGTAAAGGATTGACATCAGATTGATGTAAAGCATTGGCCAAAGAGGGAGGGTTTTTGCAGCAAGACTGTTCATTGGATCTCTTTGCCTCCTTATTACTTTAGAGCACCTTATTCAAGGCATATGGCAGTAAGCAAGTAGTAGTGTTTTCACATGTGATTTCTCTGGAAGTGTTAGGGATCCCATATGGCTGCTTCATACAGTAAGTTAAACTGCATCCAGGATGTCATGTCAGCTGTGAGTATGGAGTGTGAGTTCTGTGTGATCTTCTCAAGAGTGAACATCATCGCTTAAGTGGTGAACCAATATTGGCATCTCAGTAAAATGCAGGGTCTTAATATCTGTGGTTTTGAAAAAATGAATAGTACTTTATCTGCATGGTATTTCTAGTTATGCACCCAAATGTGATCTAGGGAGCTCAAAGCAGGCCTTAGTTACACTTTAAAATGTCACATTTAAGAGTTTTGTTCCCAATGGTTGCCTCATATTCTGCTTTTATGTGGTATAACTGATAGTAACATGTTTATAACATCTAAAGATTTTTAAAAGCACAGGTCTGAATAACTGATAGCAACACCTAAACTTACAGTAGACAATTGTGCCTTTCAGAGACAGATAGCATCCATGGATTTCTTATTCTTTTTAAATTATTCCTTTAAGGAGCAAACAGCAGTTAGTGCATAGAAGTGTTGCAGTTAAAAAATTCTGTGAAGCAGCTCCAATTTTAATTGAAAATTTGTTTCATAAGCAGTTTACATGACACTGTCATGAAGATCTTAAAATATTCAAGCAGCAAACATACTGCAGGGGTTTGGATGAGTTAAATCTTAGAGGTGGAGGCTGTGGTCCAATAAAATCTTTCTTTAAAAGCCTACTTTAGTTTACCAGATGAATATTTGGCTTTGGCTGAGGAAAGAATTCTTGATCCTTCTTCCAAGCCTAATTGCTCCTTGGTCTGAAACTATTCTGGCAAGGTATGTTCTGGATCTTGCCTCCATCTCCTCTTTCTCTAGGCTACTGATGTGTTTGGGCACACTGAATGCAGGGCCAGATCCAAAGACCTTACTTTTTAAATGACCAGGCATGCATAATATTCACACAAATAAAATGCCTGCAATGTACTTTGTCTTGCTGTGTCTTTGAGTTTGCCAAGAAGTGCAACCTTTTAGTGAGTTACTGGTGACCTCATGCACCTTTGCAGAAATCCCAGCTCTGGCAGTGTTTTGACATAAACAGTAGTGAAAACATTCCTGATATTTATCAGAGCTGCTGAGGCTCCAGCACTAGTGTAGACTTCAAAGATGGAGACATACCCTGCCCCATTCATGCTGGTATAAATCTGGGGGTTTTTTAATCATTAGACTGAAGAATTAGAAAAATTTTGGGATGCATGTGTGCAGTAAGTCGAGAGGTCACCAACAAACAGCTATCATAGCATCAAAGCAATTATATTAGTAGTGAAAAGATAGGAAAGTACTTTGTTAAATTAATAGAAATTGGATGGTTTCAGTAAGTAGCTGTGATTAGGTCCAAAGCTAATAAGAGCTTTTACCTCCACTATATCCACAATATTTGTTTGACTTAGTGTCAGACCATTTGTGAGCCCTAACTTGATGCAACTGTAGCAGCCATCTGTGAATTTCAGACTTTACCAAGAGCCAGCATGCAAATATTTAGATGCCTGGTGTCTGTGCAGCTTGATTCCCCATGCACATAACTGTTACGATCAGGAAATAAGAGACTGTCAATTGGTCATCAGTGGGATCTTTGAAACAAGGTCTGTCTGATATTGCAGGGTAGTTACACACTGTCCAGATGCATTCAGCTCATTGCTTCTGCAGATATGCAATTGGAGAGCCAGGGAGAGATTTTGTGGAGAGAAATAGCTAGCTGGTCTTAGAGATCTGGCTCACAGATTCTAGCTTACTGATGCAATTTCCTTAGGAAAGAGACATTTTTTAATATTACTCAGCAGATATTTATTGTAAGAGTATTTGTCTGCTGTTATGTTTTTTTGATGGTACATGTTACTTAATAAAATGAGAATTTTTATCAGGAAGGTCAGTCATTAATGCTTTTAAAAGGAGTTGAGAGAAGATTTGTCATCTCTAGGAGCAGACTACGCCTTTTCTGCATTTTACTTTGGTTTAACTGAGTGTTTGTTACAGAGAAGTGCAGGTTATTGGTTTGGAAACATGCTTCCTTTGGCTTTTAATTATGCATTTGGATACACTCTTAGACAACTCCACTGTATGCAGTATGCATCACTGAAATTGATTTTCTAGTTGTACGCTTCTGCTACAGAGTATTTCTGGGTCTATCAGATATGTACATACCAAAGTGCTGACTGCAGGCTGTCTGCTATGCCCTGTAACTTTGCCACCTGCCTTTTAGCACATTATGGCCTGTGACTTTGGTTAAGCCATTTAGAGAGGCCTAGGCAAAGCAGAGGAAGACTCAGCTCAGGCAGCAGAGCTTTACAAATAGGGAGTCATGCAAGCATCCTGCTAGTGCTGCTTTGACAGTCAATGTCCCCATTTATTATTACCATCGTGTCTGCATATGGGATGCATTTGCAAAAGTAGACACATGGAAAAATACCAGAGCAATTGCAGATTTCCACAGGATGTTCCTTGATCAGCCTTGGGCTATCTGCTACCCTCTGATAATCCTGTGTATTTTGTCCTAGCTGTGCTGCGCTATCTGAAGAGTGATGGAAGGCTGAATTCCGTGATCTTTAGCAACATCCAGCTGGCTGATGGGAAACCCCATGCTGTCATCTTGTGGCTGAGTGGTCTGCAGCAGGGATTGAGCACGATAGAATTGTATCTGGATTGCCTGCAAGTAGGTGCCATTGAGGACTTGCCAAAACCATTTTCAGCACTGTCTCAGAAGATGGTGGCAGCTGAGTTGCGCACTCTCCAGGAGAAGCCACAGGTGAGCATGGAAACTGGGAACAGGATGTGGACTTAAGAGGGGTCTCCAGTGAACCTGTGAATCACTGCATTCAAAACTCAGTCCTCACAGCAGCCAAGCTCCAAGTACAGTAATACTTGAATATTAAGTTGTGAAAAAATGTACATAGAAGCTCCCCATGGAGCAGGTGAAATCTTAGCTCACATGAACCCTATAATAATTCTGCCATTTGTTTTAAACACAATTTTTAGCTTTTTTAATAAAATCCAAAAAACTACAGCCTCCTTCAATCTCGGTGATTTTTGGGGAACATACATTTTGTAAGGACTTAGCTAATGCAGTAAGGGCATCTTTTCACTGGCTTCTTACAGCTGTTCTGTATGAGCTTGTCTGTGTATGTGTCTTTCCTCTTCATATGCCAGGAGACTAAAAAAGGCAAAAGAAAGGGGGGAATCTGTTTTTCTGTAAAAGCTTTTCTTCCTCTGCCAACCAGGAGTTGATAAAACTTCCTGTCATCCTATCAGCAATCTGAGATAAACATTGTCATCCAAAGCATCTTCCATCATCATCATTAATCAAAAATACTCATTAGAAAGTGCAAAGGTATTTTTTCCCCAAAGTTTCCCACTTACTTTATTCCATTACAGGCTTGAAAGTGAGCCTGTTTTTATGGAGACTGGCTGAGGTGCCCATATTTCTGACATGAATATATGTACCTGTTTGAGAGGAGAGAAAAAAAAGACTGCTTAGGATGCACTTTAAAAAAATCATATGCCACAGAAATATGTGAACTTCCTAGTATGTGAGATCACACTAATTGGAACAGTAAAAAAATGTTTGAGATAAAACCACAGCTATGTGAAAATCCACAAGGCAAAGATTAGAGATTTTATACAGTTCAAATGCCAATGGATGGTCCTGAAGGGAATGGTGTAGGACCCCTGCATGCATAGGAAATGGACTCCCTCTCTTAAAAAAAAAATTTACTTGGTCTGTTCATATTTTGTTCATATTTTTCCCATTGTACCAGAATTGTGAGATCTGTTTTTCTTGTGAGCCCAGGATACACTGGATGAGCTAAAGCTGGTAACTGGAGGAACCCTTGCTGAAGTGGGAAACCTGCAGGATTGTTTTCTTCAACAAATTGAGGCTGTACCTCAGTACACTGGTAAGACCTGCAATGTGGATTTAAAATTATTCCTAATGATACCAGTGCAAGGAAGCTAGTGTGATGAATATTGAAAATGTGAAGAAGCTTATAGTCAAGTAATAATTATTTGACTAAATTATAGCTATGACAGTTTCCTGTAAATATTTTAGAAATATCTCCGTTTGTAGAGAAAACGGTTGCTGGTGATAAAGCAATGAATTGTTTTAGTGATACAAGTCTGTAATGATTGAAAGAGTTTTTTAGCCTAATTTTGAAGGCAAATTTTTGTGATGATGATGATCTGCTTGTGTCGGCTTAATAATATTTTAAATATTCAAATTGCAAACAATTGCAGATGGAAAGTAGTGCTAAATGGGGTACATTGCTACAGGCTGTATGAATGGAAGTTGGATGGAGTAGCAGGACCTGTCCATGTACTTATTCACACTGACAGTATTCATCTCTTGTTGAGCACTGGACTGTCACCCAGAGGGGAGGAGCAAGGTGTGAAGAAGCTCACAGGAGACTGAAGAAAATGTTTGTGCCATAGCTACAGAGTATGTATGTCTGTGTGGGAAAAGCCTTTGCAGAGTAGCTATTAGTCCTGCCACAATTTAGCCAAGGCTTTTGTCACCTGCTGAAGGGGACATTAATTTAAAAACAATTCCTCTTCTGTGTTTGCTGAGCATTGTTGAGACTGAGCTGGGAAGAGGGAGGAAGGGAAGGAGCTGAGGCTGCTGGGATCCCTGCAGGGCCTCAGGGGCTTACTGCAATCTCCTATGTTATGTGAGGGTACTTCCCGACCTCTGTACACAGAAAACCTGTGCTAGACTGTCCCATCTGTCATTCCAGTCCTTGTCCATCTGCCTTTCTGCTGTGGGTGTGAGGAAGAAGAATGGGTTCACTCTGCATGCAATATATTAATATATGACAGCCATAGGAAGGAAACTCCTAGGAAGTTCAAGGTTTGAAATAGGATCTGCGATACATTCTTTCTAGTACCCTTTTCTGACTCCCGTGCGAAACCCAACCCTGCAGCATTGCTAGTTTTGATAAGAAAAGAGACAAGATGCAGAAATTTTATGAGAGCATCCTGGTTATGTCACCTAAATGTAGGCATCAGTGGTGTGCAGCAGTAACAAAATCTGGTCTACCTTTTAGCTATGTAAATCCTTAGTTCCAAGTACTTCTATTTCCTTCCTTCTTAACATATGTACACTTAGATAAAGAAAGGAAATTTGTCCTCAAGGCTCTCTCTTTTTCACTGAATCAACAGGGATTTAAACATGGAACAGAAGGGTAATTCAGTGTTTGCTTCTGCAAAAAACTAGCAGCTCTCTCACGGCGAGTTTCCAAATTACAAACTTGCAGCTTTCTCATTTGTAATTTTTTGCTCACTAATCAATAATGCAAATGGTAATATACAGAGAGATCTCTATTTTTCTCTGTGGCTGCCTCCACCTGCCTTAGACTCTCAAATTTAGTTGCTTTTAACTTTCAAGTGGAATTAGTATAATTAATAATAATAATAGTAATAATAATAATAATAATTACTTATATAAATACATTCAAAGTCTACATAGTAAAATCCACCAAAAGAAAAGGTGGGAATTCCAACAGCAATTTTAACTTGTCTGCCTTGAACTTTGTGTATGCTTCATGATGCCCCTCTATGGCAATAATATAATGACAATTTTGCCTACTGCCAGGGAAAGCTGGAATGCAAATGCTCAGCTGTATAGGGGAGTGAGACCTAATATCTTGGTAAAAACATTTCATATGCTTTCATTTTATATGCTTTCATACTAATTGGAAAATCCTTAGGAATGCTTTGGACCTGAATAACTGCATGGTTTTGACTATGTGCTGGTTGTTGTTCATTGCTTTGGCAACAGCATTCCCTCCATGTTCAGTCTGTGAGGCTGAGAGACCTAAACAGTGAGATGAAATGATGATGAAATGATGATGATCAGACACGTGCTGAAGATGTGTATTTGGATTTTTGTGTTTGGGTAGGAAAACAGAATGCAAGGTGCACTAGGTTTGGTAGATGAGATGAGTAGGCTGCATGTGATCATCATCACAAGATTGTTCTGGTCACAAGAGATCTTTGGAAGTTGTCTAGTTCATGTAGGGTACCTGAACCTGACAAAGTTAAAAGAATATCTATATTGCACCAGACCAAAAGTTATTTCAACCAAGTTGCTGTTAGAGACAGTATGTCAATATAGACCCACGGAAAGAGCATAATGGAATGGAATGTGGCTTTCTCTGAATGCTTCACTGTTCTCCATTTCATGGTATTCAGAGCTGTTCAGAAATGTTTTTTCTTGTCAGCCATCATCTATTCAATAATCATGGTTTGCTCTCTGGACAAGAAACCACAATCTTCCAGAGTTCAAGAAGCTGGAAAATGTTCTCATGCACATGGTGTGATTCTTGGGATTGTCCCATGCAGGGCCAGGATTTGACCTGATAATCCCTATGAGTACCTTCCAAATCAGGCTATTCTGTGATTCTATTGATATCACTCTCTTTGAATGACAATTTGGGATTTGAATGACACAGACAAGAGCAAGTGTGTCGCTTGATCCAGAGAGCTATTGTTCCCAAGAGAGGGAGAAGCAATAGCTATGAGGTGTTCCACTGTGGCTAGAGTTTGTGCATGCCTGGGCCAACTGTCTGTACAATGAAGCTGCTTGAAATTCAGGGTCCTGTTTTTGAACAGCTTGCCTGGAGAAGCTATGGACGCCCCATCAGGAAATGCTGAAGGCCAGGCTAGATGAAATTTTGAGCATTCTGGTCTAGTGGAACGTGTCACTGTCACAATAAGGAGGTTGGACTCCTTACTGCGATCTTCAAAGGCCTTTTTCAATCCAAACTGCTATGATTCTATACTGAAATGTCCTGGCAAGAGAAATATGGGGACTTCAGTTCCCTGTTGGTCAGGAATACTTCAGAGCATTATCTGAATTTAGTGATTACTGTGAAGGCCATTCTGTTAATAATATTGTTAATGACTCAAGAATATAGAGCTATGGAGTAGCTGAACTGAAGAGCTGCCTTATTAGATATTAGGGGTATGGATGAGAGAGGCTACATGGAAGGGCCAGAGAACTGTATAGCTTCAGGCTGGTACCTTTTGCTTACCTGCTTTCTCCTGGATGCACTATATTGTGGACTGACAGCTTCCTTAAAGGCCTCTCTGAGTACTTGTCCCTAAACATTGGTTATTCTGCTGCAAGTGGTGCCTGCTGTTGGAATTGCTTTTAACAGGAGAGAAGGAAACAGAACCAGGTATCCAGGTAGTCAGCTGTTTCTGCTCTGCTGTCTAAATTTGCATCCAGGACATGTAGTTAATGGCAGTTTAACCTGTTTAGTCCACCTTAATGTTCAGCAGCCTGCAAAACTTAACTATAGAGTAGATCTGTTTTTGATTTAGATGCTAGCCAACAAACATCATCTGAAGTCTTGAAAATTTTTTGCAGATTTCAATCAATAATGCCTAAATGAGTCTTTGTTTTAAAAATAAAACAAGAACAGACCCCAGTGTCTGGCCTGACAGCCTGTGTGCCAGGTTACACTATGGGATTCTAAAATACCCATGATATTATGTCCTGCTGTTGTCAGCCAAATAAAAATATGGCAAGGTTAGGACTGAAACAGAGGCAGGCTCTGGAACAGGTGATTCCTGACTCTTTAAACTTGTTCAGTGTTTTGATGAGAAAATATGAAGTGAAGAAAACATAGTATGTGAGGAGTTGGATGGCTCCCACTAGAATGTTTGGAAACAGTTAGACATGCTTTGAAATATGAAACAATGAGGTAAACATTAAGAGAAGCATTTTTCATATAAGCTTTCAGTACTCACAAAAATAACATGTGAATAAACCTCCCTGAAGCTATCAGGCATAATATCAAAACATCCTGCCTGCCTAGACTGTGGAAGAGCATATATTTGTGAAGTTTGTTTTTAGATACAGACTTAGAGAAGTAAACAAGTATCTTCTTCTTGAGAGGTACAAATTCAAAAGTAAGCTGCAAACCAAAGCAAGCTACTGTGTTAAACACGCTCTCTGCTTCTTCTCTGTCACTGGCTCAAAACCACTGTTTCATTTAAGATATTAAAGTCTCCTGTGAAGATTGTGGGTTTGATCGAGTCATTCCCTATGGCTCATTACAGATTTAACGTCAGTCTTGTCTTAGAGGTCTTTAAGTTATTACTGGGTATTGATGACTGACTTTTGGTCTGAGTTCATAGTGTGTTGAGTAGATGTTTTGTGAGTCCATGCAAAGTCTGCACCTGTCAGAAGCAAATGTAGCCATGAAACTTGTGTAGGGTGTGCCTTTGAGAAGAAAAGCCAAGTGACTGTTGCAGTCACTATTTTGTCAGAGCAGACACTGTTGATGTGTTCTCAGAGCTTCACAGTGAGCTTGCTCAGAAAACAGGGTAACTTTTCTTTGAAAAATATGTATGAATCAGCTGTGGTTACGACTGTGCTGTGCCAGCAGGACCTGGGAAGTTACCAACCCCCTGTACTCAGGATTGGTAAGGCCACAGCTCAAATCCTGTGTTCAGTTTTGGGCCCCTCACTTTAAAAATGAAATTGAGGTGCTGGAGTGTGTCCAGTGAAGGGCAACAAGGCTGGTGAAAAGACTAGAAAATGTGTCATATGAGGAACAACCAAGGGAACTGGGTTTGTTCAGTCTCAAGAAGAGGAGGCTCAGGGGGACTTCATTGCTTTCTACAACCACCTGAAAGGAGGGTATAGCCAAGTGGGCACTGGTCTCTTCTGCCATGACTACAGTAGGAGGACAACAGGAAATGGCCTTAAATTGAGACAGGGGAGATTCAGCTTAGATACTGGAAATATTTTTTTCATTATTAGGGTTGTCAGGCATTAGAATAGGCCCAGGGAGGTGGTGTAATTACCTGGAGGTTCAGGTGATGCCTGGATCTGGTGCTAAGGTGATGGTTTAGGGGTTACAGTGGTAGTGTTGGGATGGTTAGAGTGCATGATCTTAAATGTCTCTTGCAACACTGAAGATTCTATGGCTCTTGATTCTATGACATAGAATGCACTTATGCAGGGTGTCTTCCCATTGCATGCACATACACTTCATGGCCTCACACTGCCCTCACTGCCACAAATAGGTTATCACAAATACTCAGTTCTGAAATCCTGAGGTTTCATATAGAGTTGCTGGACTCAGGCCTAGGAGGAACCAGTAGCACTGGTGGCATTAGTTGCCTAGGAGAGCCTTAACACTGAAGTAATGCTAGAAGAATCATGATCTTATTTTTCTTTCTGTGGAGAGCTTTCTGCTTTAACCATATCTGTGGTATATGAGTTCAGTCCAGAAAAAACTTGAGTTCATGAAGAACACACTATTTGAGATAAATACTGTGTTTGCTCTGATGATCTCTACAGGGCTTGCATAATAGCAGTGTCTGCCCTCCTTGGCTTTTCATGGGGTTTCATCTTATATCTCAGAAATTACCATGACAAATTGTGGTAGTTTGGCATTGGAAGAAGAGTTATGTTGTACACTCCTTTTCACTGCTGTTTCTCTGCAGGTGATTTTAATAGGCAGCTGATGGGTCAAATGATGCAGATGAACCAAATACTAGGAGATGTGAAAGAGCTTCTTAGACAACAGGTACTGTATACAGATTTTGGTGTGAAATATCCCAATTTTTCCCCTTTGATAGTTAGTGCAGATTTCAGGTAAGCAGTAAACTCCTGTGTGGAGTTACTGCTTTAGAGTTATTACCTTAGAGGCATGACACAATCTAGAAGAAATAACTAAATAGGTCGTGGTACTCTGTGCCTGCAAGCGAGGATCATTGGATGTGGGAGTATATGGTGCTTGCTTAATCAGATCCAGAAAATTTAGTGTCTGGTGAGGAAGTCTAATAGCTCACTATTAGATAGTTGTGGGTCTGTTGCATGGAACTGAAATTGCATTTGTTTCACTTGCTGGTGGGTGTCATAACTGGAATTGCTAGTGGCACATTCCTTTGGTCAAACAAGGACTTTTGGACCTTTAAAAGTTGTGTTGATGAAGGCTGAACCTAAGTACATCCATTATCCATATCCTTAATTTTATGGAGTACAAAGACCATCTCATTTAAGACCCATTACCTGTGTTGCATGGTTTGAGTGGCATCTTGGGGACTAATGGTTCTTGCCTCAGCCATGTACAAACTGGAACTATCTGTATCTAAATAATATTTATTTTCTATATTCTCAAGGTCAAAGAAACAACTTTTCTGAGAAATACCATAGCAGAGTGCCAAGCATGTGGTGAGTACTCCTGTTATTGCTGGTAATCTAGAAGAGATAGTTGTTTTAAAACTAGTATTGATCGCATTAGCTTTATGTGGTTTCTAAAAATGCTTTTTAAAAAATACCGTGTCCAGAGTTCTAGATGTATTTGTATTTGGACAAAAATTTAAAATAGATTGTCATTAAAGAAAAATCTTCCACAGACCCAACAGTCACCTCTTGGGGGATAAAATGCCACTAAACCAAGCAGTACCACTCAGGTTGTACTGTCAGTTCTCAATCTGCCAAAAAGCTGTCCCGAAGTGTTCCTGTGGAGGGAGACACTGTCTCCCAGCTATGTCATGCACAATCTTAGTAGAAGGATAAGGGAGAATCATGTTCTGCTCTGGCTGGTATCAGTCTGAGGAAGATCCAATGCAGTCCACCTGATCAGTTTGTCTGATTCTGAGTAGGCAGTCAATAGTCAACAGCATTAAGACCCAAAAGGTGTTTTTCATCTTTTCTCTAAATGAAAAAAATGCATACTTTTCCAAATGCCACTGCATGGCCCTCCTGCATTGCACACAAGTGACAATCAGTACACAAGTGCCGTCAGTATAAAAACCAATATACTCCCTTACCACATGGGATGAAAGGTCTTGAACTCATCAGGCCTTTTAGTTGATTCCTTCTCCCAGCCTGTTAGCCTTATCAAAACTCAAGTAGAGCTCTAGGCAGGGCAACTTTATGTATACGTGTCGAAGGAAAAGTCAGATTCCTACATGCATTTGTACCAAGGTTCTGTACCTGCCAGAATCTCAGAAAGACCTGTCTTTGGCTCATCTCTGTGCACCTAAGCCTGTGTACTTGCATGGTCCTGCTGTGTTTGTGGGCTGCCAGCTGCTCCTTCTTTATTCTTCTTATTTGTAAACTCTGAAAGATGCTGTTGTGAAACCATAACGTTGTTTTTCTTATGAAGTGGTAGTGTTGCTAGTTTAGCCAGAGAAATGCCCTGTATTTGTACCCTTATACTTGAGTCGCTTTGTCTAAGGTCACAGGCTTTCCTGCCCTGGCCAGCAGCATTTTTAGGACTAGCCTAGGAGGAAGGCATCCATATGTAGCCAGGAGAAGCACATGGAACAAAAAGAACTAAAAGAACAGTCTCAATTTCCCCTTGCTGGGGGTACAGTAAGTTCCTGGGCCATTTTCAGCATGGAATCTTCTCAGCTGCAACACAGCTGGCAGCAGTATAGTGCAGGGACATGAAGTATCTTGGGAATTTCTTCAGAATGCTTGCCAGCTGAGAGTCATGATAAATGGTTTCTTTCAACCACTGAAACTGTTGTTCTTTCTGCATTAAAGGTTTAGGCACTGTGAGTTTTCCAACTCAGCTTCCTAGGCGCACTAAACCGAAATGTGAAGTTAATTCCTGCTTCAGGGGAGTGAGGTGCATGGAGACAGCAGAGGGATTTCAGTGTGGGCCCTGCCCTGAAGGACTCACAGGAAATGGAGTTACATGCTCAGATATTGATGAGGTAAAAGAGTGACTTTCACTGAATTAAAAAGAAAAGCTAAAAAACAACTGTTCCATACATGTCAGTGTCATACTTGCTGACTTCATCACGTACTGACTGCTTGCACAGTGAATATTAATTCATTCTGATTTGATTTTATATTCCTGTTTTGCTGTTTCTTCAACTTTATGGAGGTTATGTATGTGAAAACTTGAAGTACCCTGGTTAGTTGAGAAGTCACTTAAAGGAGCTTAATGTTTGGAAAAAAAACCCAGAACCTAAACCAAACCAAACCAAAAACTTTTGACATTGCCATTTCTATTTCACAAGAAGATGCTGCAGCTTCTGTTATAGGCTGCAGAAGCACTTTTTATTTAATATGGGCTTTGTTTCTTTAAACTGTGCTCCTGAACCGGCCTTGGAGACCAAAGTCTTTTCTTCAATCAAAACTGGAGTCATGTTTGCATCCTTACCTTGAAAATCTGTGAAAGAAAATAAACAATCATTGTCATTGTTCCTTTTGCTTCTTTGTATTTGTGTTGAAATCTGATAATGTTGACTTAAATCTAGTTCCTTTCTTCAGAAATTCAGAGCTTGCTTGTATTGAGGACTGAATTAATAAATTTGCAGTATCTTAAATGACTAAAGAAACCTGTGTTAATTAGAATGTGACACTTACCCAGAACAGAAACAAAAAAAACACTTACAGGTTCACTGCATTTTTTGTGTGGGATGATTTTTACTATTACTATTAAGTCTTTTTTGTGGAAAAGTACCTGGATGTAGTAGACCAAGGAACCAGCAGAATTAGGTGATAAACTGCACCTGTGGATAACACAGTACTACCACTGTACCTGTTCAGTAATGTAAAACAGCAAAAGCAATTCCCTTTTTCTCCTTTCTAGCCAGCAGGAAATGTGCTTTGACTGCTCTTTTGATTTATTCCCTCTCGTAGACCATCAGGTGAGGATGTGATGTGCTTTACACCTGTCTGTGAAAAATGCTGGGGAGAGAAAGTGAGTTGAGTATGGAAGTTTCCTGAGGCATTGGCAATGTCTCTTGTTTTGCCTTATGTGGCATGAACTGTGTCTGCTGCAACAGAAAGCACAAAAAATGGAGGTGAAGCTCTGAAATGTCAGTGCAAGTGATGGATCCAAGACAGCTGTGGTACGTTTCATGCTACAGACAGACATGGTGTGAGGCTCAAGCAAGACTATGTGGATCCTACCAGAACGGATGGGTTTCACCTCCTGAGCTATTTTCAGAGGCAAAGCATGGCAATAATCTCCTCCCTGCCATTTTCAGGATTGGGGCAACTCTATCCATTACAGCAGTGGTGGAAAAAGAAACAGTGGTTTATGATGACTTCATATTAAAGTGGTTGTCTGTTAGCAGTCAGGCTCTGATCACTGAGATTCACGTACCTTCATCTTCCAGCCACCACTCCACGTGACAGACCTGCTTTCACATTAGAAACAGCAAGGAATTTTTGCCAAAATTGTGTCATAGAAATAGTCTTTCTTATTATGAGGTCTTTATGTAGACGCTGCCATTAAAATGCCACTTTGTCAGGAGTAGTTTTGTTCACCAGCAAGTACCTACTTAATCAGCTGGATTTTTACTTAGATTTGCACAAGGAGAAATAAAGAAGCAATAAATGGCAATAATTTTGAGTTGTCTAATGAGACAGTATATGTCATATTACTTGTTTTCCTGAGTTAGCTGATACGCAGGAAATTTTTGTTGGTTGGTTGGTTTTGTTTATTTTTTAACTTATTTAAGGCCTTTTGTGAATGAACTATTTCTGTACTTCCTAATAATAGGCATTTTAAATGAAGTTACTGTACAAATTCTGATAAGGACAAATCTGGGAGATTCTCCACTAAGAGCTGCCATAATCTTTCCTGAGGTTGTTAGTATCTCTGCAGCATGCTCCCTAATTCATTAGCAGTTTGAAGACATTACCTTGGTATGCTGGTGCTTATCTTGGGAGCTGCAGCTCTACTCTATGTGCTGTGTAATTTGGGTGCCCTCTGCTGCCTACAATAAAGAATCCACAGCAAAATAAGGAGGCACAAAATGTCTGTCCTAGGTTTGACATTTTCCTTATATTACTGACTGACATGCTATTGACAAATCTTTCAGTCAAACACACTTTGATATTAAACATACCTTTTCTTGTTTCCATGTGTGTGTGTTGGGTTACAAGTTGTATGTCTCTTGTAGGTGGATATTGTCAGGTTTGTTCTCCCTCCATCTTGCAGATGCTTTTCTGTTAGTGATGGAAGGAGAAAAAAAATGACATTTTTTAAAAACTCTTTAGTATTTCTTTCTCACTTATTGTTGTCTTTGAGCCCTGTGCAGCAGGATGGCATGTTGATGTTTTTCGTATGCTTATAAACATTATTTAGCAGCTAGTGTTGATGTTGGAAAGGCAGCAATGCAGGATGTGTTTCCCAAACTGGCACCCACAAGACCAGTGAAATCAGTCACAGCTGTTTTGTAAAACTGCATAAGGCAGTGAAGTGAATGATGCCTTCAGGCCAAGGGTGATTTGTGGATGTCTGGTATTTTGGGAGACGTTCCAAGGATTGTCTGTGGGCCTCCGGTCTAGAAATGTGTGGATGCCACTGACACATCCTGCTTATCTAGCTTATGTTTGGATTCCTTCTGACTATGAGATTTGTCCAAATATAAATGAAGGAAAATGCTGCTGCCACTTCTGTGTGTACAAAACACATTAGAAGGGGTGTTTAGAGACTTGGAGTTATGTGGCTTTCCTGATATTGTGGTCTGGACCCTTCCAGGAGCCTTTCAGCCTCCAAGGGATCTGAATCTGGCCAGCTAAAGGAAGGATTCAGGATGAGAGTTTAGGACATCAGCTACAGGCTGTAATGGAAGGTTGCAAATTATATTTAAATTACAGAGATAGCTGAAGATTTACTGAGGTCAGAAATACCTGCAGAAATGGTTTCCTCTCTTAAGCCCTCTCTGAACAGAGAACACAGAGGTGTTGCATTGCCTTTCATCAGAGCTCTGTACACACAGTTAGAGTCTGGATGTTAACTGAAGCACAAACGTGTGCTTGGTTCATTTTTTTCTTTGCAGTGTCGTTACAACCCTTGCTTCCCTGGTGTGCGATGTGTGAACACTGCTCCAGGTTTCCGATGTGAGACATGTCCTCCAGGATATACAGGACAAGCCATGCAAGGGACAGGACTCAGCTATGCTAAGAGCAATAAGCAGGTGAGTGCTAGCACCTCCATGACAACTTCCATTGCAAGGTGCTGGTTTTAGCAGTTCATCTGTATTGAAATGTATTTATTTTTCAGTCATTCCATAATTGCCTTATGCTGTCAGGCAGTGCTCAGTGTTGCTGTTGGAGGTCTGATTTATGTTTGCATAGCTTTAATGGGAGTTTTAACAATCTAGTACTCTTGACTGACATAGAGACAAGAAAAAATGTCATTATCTTTGTAAGTATCTCTGATCAGCTTCAGGGTGCTCTGTTGATTTCTGTAAACTGGCTTTGGACTAGGAAGAAAATCATTAAAAAGACCTATTTTACTGTAATTTTTTTTTTTTTTTTTTTTTTTTTCATATTTCTGTAAGCACCCTGGAATGGGAACACAGTTTTTGTATAAACTTTTCTGGGTGAACAGAGCCCATCCTAAAGTTGAATTTTTCTGCTTCTCCAGGGTTTAGAAAGTTAGCCTATGGATATGTCTGTGATGTTCTGAGAGCAGTTTCAGAAGATGCTACATCTCTTTTCTAGTCTTACACTGTGGTGGTGTTTCTTCAGTCTTTGATCTCAATAAATTGACATTTTTTTTATTATTTGTGGATTTGGTTTATTGCTAGGTCTGCTTAGATATTGATGAATGTCAGAATGGAGGACTTGGACTCTGTGTTCCGAATTCCCATTGCATAAACACTTTGGTAAGCGTCTTTTCATTTATGCCTTGAAAAAATCAATTGTTTTAAAATTCCATGAGGCTAGGATTGGATTTATGGGTCTGATGAAAGAACAGTTAATAATACAGGGTTTTTTTGTCTTCTTATAAATCAAAGAAGCCTTGCCTCTTTTCCTAGCAAATAACAAGAAAAATTAATACTTGATTTGTCATGAACACATCCATCCGAGTTGTATCCTTATCATTTCTCTTGAAGATCAGGAGCTCTTCTCTCCATACCATCCAGTGATGTGTGTTTATGGGTATGGTATTGCAAGAAACCTCCTTTGAAAGATTAAACTTCTGCTTCCCTTATCTTCTGCCTCCTGAGAACTGCTGCAACAAGCTGTTCTCCTGGGTGCTCTCTTTATAGGAGTTATGCATACTAGAACAATTACCCCTCTAAATAAATGGAAACAAAGAGAGCTACAATTAGTACAAGACTGTTAATGCCCACGGATATTAAACCCAGGAGTGCAAGCATAGGAGAAGTAAAAGTGGTTTGAAAGATGTTAGGATCCAATAAAATGGGCATACAGCCACTTTAAAGCTGTGAAGCAAGTTAGACATAGAATCACATGATCATGGAATCGTTTATGGTAGAAAAGACCTGTAAGGCCAAGTCCAGCTCTTAACACAGTACTGACAATCGCGCCACTACACCATTTTCCCAAGTGCCACATCCACACATATTTTGAACCCTTTCAAGAATAGTGGGTCTACCATTTCCCTGGACAGTCTGTTACAATGCTTGTCAATCCTTTTTGTAAAAAAAATCTTGCTAATATTCAGTCTTAATCTCCCTTGACCTGAGAGGGCCTGAGAATCTGAGGCCATTTCTTCTTCTCCTATCACTTCTTACTTGGGAGAAAAAACAACACTATCCACCTATAGCATCCTTTCTGGTACTTGCAGAATTATAAGGTCCCCCCTGAGCCTCCTTTTCTCCAGGCTAAACACCCCTCAGCTTCCTCAGCCACTCCTCAAAGGACTTGTGCTTCAGATCCCTCACCAATTTAGTTGCCATTCTCTGGGCTCGCTCCAGCACCTCAGTGTCTTTCTCGTAATGAAGAACCCAGAACTGGACACAGCACTCGAGGTGTGGCCTCACCAGTGCCCAGGACAGGGGGACAATCCCTGCCCTGCTCCTGCTGGCCACACTATTGCTGAGCCAGGCCAGGATGCCATTGGTCTTCTTGGCCACCTGGGCACAGCCTGGCTCATGTTCAGCTGCTGGCACCAGCACCCCCAGGTCCTTTCCAGCCACTCTGCCCCAGCCTGTGGAGCTTTGGGGAACAGCACCTGTGACCAGACACCAGCTGGATGTAACTCCACTCTCTGGGCCTGGGCAGTTTTTAACGCAGTGAACAGTGCATCTGCCCAAGCCATCAGCTGCCAGTTTCCCCAGGGGATTGCTGTGGGAGATGGTGTCAGAGGCTCACCCACTGAGCAGGTCACCCTCTTACAGAGCACACAGGACCTACCTTTCATAAATCCATGCTGTCTGGGCCAGATCCCCTGGTTGTTCTGTGCATGCCACAGGCTTCCTTCATAGCAGGAGAAAGGTATAAAGTATCCTTCAGATATAAAGGTGGTCCTTTCTGAAGCGAAGTATTGTTGAGGCTACCATTTGTGTTCAGTGTTACCTTTCCTTGAGAATAAGCTTGTTTTCTCAGGGCTGCTTTCACTGTTCAGTATGTTTGTACATTTTTTTTTTTAATATTTAGAAGGTTCACTGTAACATTTTGTATCTTGCTGTAAGACTAGACATGCAGCTTCTTTGGGAAGCTGTCAGGCCTTGTCTGCAGAGGGCAGGCACCAAGTGGCCTGCCATCTGTCAAAACAGAGCAGTGTGGGGTGTCTAATCCTGTATCCCATCAGAAACAGTCTGGACTGGAAATGCTGCCTTAGAGGCTATTTTAATGCATACCAGAGCTTGATATAGGACAGAATATATCGAGCAAATTCAGTAGACTCCAGAAGATACTACCCTGCCATCCATTAGGTTAAAGTGCACAGGCTGCTGTGTTTCAAGTAAGCCATACCATTTGCATGGCCCAGGAATTACTTTACTTTTCAGTCATCTGTTTATTTTCATCTTCATTCTGAAAGTATCCAGACAGAACAGAGTTAAAATCTGTAACAAAGTTAGGAATAGAGGAAAAAAATAATGCCCACCTGAGAAATAAGGTTTCCTTGTGATGGTGGACTACAACAGTCCTGACAGTTCTTCCAATAAACTTTGTACATGAAGAGTGAAGTTGTATGAAGCACCTCAGTTTCACCAATGGTTAGATACACATTTGTCAGATACCTGTCCATTTCTGTCCCTTGACCTGTCAAAAAATAATTATTCTCCGTAAGATAAATAGATTGTTCTCAATTAACTTTTATGTCTTAGGTTACAGGTCTGCAAGACTCTGAAACAGAGACAAAAGCCACATTGGATGCCTAAAGAAGACCTCACTTATAAGCATTTTTCTCTATATATCATATGGTGATTGGCCCAGCACATGATGAGATTCCTTTGCTTAGCTTGTGTTTGTTTACACAAGAGAGTAATACATATGAAGTACATATGCATGTGCCATGGTAAACCATAGCAAAAACTTACACGGATGTTCTTATTGCAGTGTAAATGAAGATGGCTGTGTCTTCAGATACAGAATTATTTTCTGAAGAAAGAGATTTGGATCAAATTGGCTTAAAAACATTTTAACTTAAAAAAATAAAATGGGGCAAAGACATGATGAACCTTATTTCTCTTTGATTAAAATTTGTGACCAGTTGCCTTTAGATAAACTGACAGGTGTGCTTTACAGTGAAATAAGATCATCCAGCCCAATTAATCAGCTGCTGCTTAGAGTTTTACACAAAGTTTCAGCCACCTGGAAGCAGTGCAAGGTGATGCTGGCAAAGACAAGACATCATGAAGAAGCTTTTGCTGCTATATGATTTTTCTCTGGTTTAACAGAACACTGGTCTAAACAGGCAAGAGTTGAATATGTTTTCCAGCATGCACTCTGGGAGCCAAATATCATTTTCCTGTAGAAAATAAAGTTTGTTCACAGTATAAGAGACCTCAGTGGATAAAAAACTAAGGCTAAACAGTATGACTTGAGTCTTGCTCTTGTGCTTGCTTTAAAAAGGAAAAAAGTACTGTTAAAAGGTTGTCTGGTGACTTTTTGTTCTCACAGGGGTCTTACCGCTGTGGCCAGTGCAAACCAGGATATACAGGAGACCAAACAAGGGGATGCCAGGCTGAACGAAGTTGTAGGAATCGATCCCTCAATCCATGCAGTATCCATGCCCGTTGTATTGAGGAGAGGAGAGGAGATGTGACATGTATTGTGAGTTCATCAATTTATGCATTTTTACAGTGAAATCCAGCCTGTTTTAGGCTGGAATGAGAAAGGCTTTGTGGTCATTTTGTACAGTTGGATGTTCTACCAATTGTGGCACACTGGTCAAGACCAGTTGTGAAAACTGGCTTGCAATTATTTTGTTCTTGCCACATGTCTGTAAAGCAGCCATGTTCATGTATCATATTCACTGTGTCTATGTAATTAGATCTTTAGGAATCACTTTTGTAGACTTTATGTAGTCTCCTCAGAAAAGACTGTCAAGTGTCACTCTACAGAAGATCTCACAAGGACAAATTCCTTTCCTGGTGCTCAGTGACATAGCTCTGAGTAAGGATCCTTTCTGCATAGCGAACATGCCTGTATTTGCTGGCTGATAGAGACAGTGTTTTTTAAAGTGAGATGACAGATTCCAGGCACAGGGAGGCTGTTCTGTGCTTACCAGCTATGGGAGCAGAAGAGCAGAAGCAGTATATGAACTTCCACTGTAAGAGTATACTGAAGTATATTACTTAGTTTTTCCATCTTGCAACAGAAAGCAAGAGACTAATCCTGTGTCCTAAATTTGGTTACAGTGCATGCTTTTGCTGGCACTTGCTTTGGTCTCATTTTTAAGTACATCTGTTTCAAAGACAAATAATCTAGGGTATTTTAAGTCCATGCTGTAATGGGAAGATGCCTAGATGCTTGTAGCAGGCAAGTCCTGGTTTTAAGGAAAGGCCAGATTTTGACATGCAGTTCTTTGCATATGTCTTTGACACAAATGATGTGTTGGTTTGAAACAGTAATAATTTAATTGGCTAGGAGAAACTTGTGTGCAGATTCATTTGTCTTGTAGATGCAAACTGTAAATTCCAGTACAGTTTTCTCTTTAAACTTCCTCTAGTTGCAGATGTGTTCTTGAGATACTGAACAAAACAGTCGTCCCATCTAATCATGTGCTCCTTGCTGAGATGCTAGGTGTATACTTTACCTAGTCTCCTATTTTCTTCTCAGCCTGCCAGCTGAGGAGCCAAAATTAGTTCCTGGCCAGTGTCGATAAGAAATCTAAAGATCCAGCTGAAATCATTTGGTGTGGCAGGCACACATTCCAGTTGACATCAAGTTGTAGTTCTTTCTAGCTATGTCTGGATACACTGCAGCATCTCTCCATGTGGAAAGAAAACCTTTGTTATAAGCTCTCTGTACCTCATTGTACCTTCAGTGTCTGGCCATGACTTCCATATGCTGCTGTTTTCAAGACTGGTGTGTTTTTCCTTCTTGAATATTTCTTGAATTTTTTCTTGAATTTCTTGAATTTTCCTTCTTGACTATTTCTACAGTGACTCATTAACCTTTTGATAGTATTACCATGATGTTTTATTCATAGTGTGGTATTGGCTGGGCTGGTGATGGCTATATTTGTGGAAAAGATGTTGACATCGATGGCTACCCCAATGAAGAACTCTCATGCTCTGCTGAAAACTGCAGAAAGGTAAGAAACACTTTCTTAATTCTATAATAATTCAGAGCATGAAGGGATAAAGAAGAAGACTGTAATAAACATGACTCAATGTAGTCATATTTTATTCAGGTTATTGAATTCTATTAAATTTGATGATTAATTTCCAATTAATTAATAATAGGAAAAAGTCATTCAAATTATGAAGGCATCCAGTTTACCTATAGAACACCAGACTTGTCTCCTTTTTTGTCTAGGACAATTGCAGATTTGTCCCAAACTCTGGACAAGAAGATGCTGATGGTGATGGGATTGGAGATGCCTGTGATGATGATGCAGATGGAGATGGCATTCCCAATGAGCAGGTGCTGTGTATGGATCAGGATGCAGGCATCTGTGCAAACAGAAGGAATTCCTGTTGCTGCAAATGAAAGTGATTCTGAAATCTGACTCACTGCTGTTTGCCAGATTGTTGCATACTGGTCACTGTCAGTGGCCCCTTAAACCCTGTCTTTTTCTTTTACATAATGCTCATTCTTGCAAGACTTAACCTACACAGCCTCAAATCCCACCTGTGTATCCTCCATTACTATCTTTTATCATTTAATTCTAAAGCTTTTTGTATATAGAGCTTGTGTCCTTCAGTCACAGTCTCCCATAGCATGACCTTCAGGAATATTATTTGCATTAACATCTATTTAAAGAGCAGGTTGACCTGACAACACATTTCACTGGGGATCCAAAACCCACATAAATGAACGCGTGTCTTGCCAATAACTTGAAAAAGCTTTGGATTGTATCCCCAAAGCAGAAGAGGTTTCCATGTGGGTACACACAGCAAAATATATTAGAGGATTCATTCAGATTGGAAAAGCTGTTTTGTTTTCACCCGGTATTCTTACAAGCCCACTGTTGTTCTGTATTAAGATTGCTGACTGATACTGCTTAATGTCCGTCCAAGGGAACAAGAACATGTTATCCAGAGTACAAATGTCCACCTGCAGCTAGGGCAGACTAGCAGTCACAGAAGGTCTGTCTCAGGCTGCTTTGCCACAGAGTTCCACGCTAAATTCTGCTAGCTTAAATCAACTGGTTTTATTAATGTTCTAAAATGAAAAAATTAAATCCTCCTACAATCGTAAATCTATTTGCAGGCTCAGCACCTTCATAATCGAGTAACTTCTATATTTTTTCGAATGTCCGTTGTTCTACCCTATGGGCAACAGGATGATAGGTGTGCTAGATAGGTATAGAAATTTCATACTATTTTGAAATAAAATTTTCTCCATATACCTCCTGGTGGACTTTAAAAGTCAATAGCAGCTTGTTTGAAATAAACAAACCACCAAAACCAAAAAAATCCGGTACTTTTTTGCATCAAGTTCTTTTCCCAGTTTCCAGCTAGTCTGTACCAGAAGGGGGCAGTGGCCTTTCACTGAGAGCATCTGCAAACCTTGTCAGTCTCTGAACTGCAGCTTTTGAGAAGGACCACGTGAGAAAGCTCGGGTACCAAAACAGGCTCCTCACAATCTACCCATGCAAAATGAGAATCAGAAATCAAGGTTATAAGTAAAGCTTTATGGTACTGGGTGTTTGTGATCAGAAGTGGCTCAAAGCAGAGCTTTGAGGGAGCAGGTGAAATGTGATCCAGAGCTAATATTGACATAAAATGTCAAAACTGCTCACACTATTTTGTTGTTTTGTGTTTGTTTTTTGGTGGTTCTTTTTGGAAATAGAAATAAATACAAGCGTTTTATAAATCAACTAAAGTAGAAATTAAAGGTTCACACCCCAAATGATGTCTGATTCTGTGTCTCTTGCAGGATAACTGTGTTTTGGTTCCCAATGTTAACCAGAGAAACAGTGACCAAGATATCTTCGGGGATGCTTGTGACAACTGCCGTAATGTCCTGAATAATGACCAGAGGGACACAGATGGTGATGGGAAAGGAGATGCTTGTGATGATGACATGGATGGGGATGGTTGGTGATTTTTTACTTTCAGCTTCTCTGATGTCATTCAAATTTGCCCAGAGTGTGCATTAGATTTCATGTAACACATAGTCTTTATGAAATCGGTGTTTTTAATCCTTTTAATTCAGTTAATACCTATCTTAGCCTACATTGGAAGCACTGTACACTGTAACAGAGAAACCAAGCCCTGTTTCATGTAGAAGTTAAGGTTGTTGATCATTCAGCATTTCCTTAAAGGTACAAATGTTCCAGAGCATCCAGCTGCTGCCAGTCACTGGTACCTGAGAGCTACACAACATATTGTTTTCATTGCTGTGGGAGGCTTTGAAAGAAGTGAAAAAATCACACCACTTCAAATGTAATTAAAAAGATTAAATGTCCCATCCTGTAAGCTGTGATACAGAAACAGGATAGAATGAATTGTGTGTAATTAAAGGGTGTGATGGGGTGGACAGCTGTGCTTCAGCAAGATGTTCCTACTATTAAATGAGTGATGCACACAAAAGAAAAATTTACTGTGCAGACTTAAAATTTCATTGCAGGATTAAGTAGTTGCTGAAAAGGAACAGTCTTTACTGTTTTAATGTTTATATTGTCCAGTATGGACAAATATGGGAATTGTCTTTAATACACAATCCACTTTGCTCTAGGTGTTAAGAATCTTTTGGATAATTGTCAGAGAGTTCCCAATGAAGACCAGGAGGACACAGATAATGACGGTGTTGGTGATGCCTGTGACAGCTGCCCTACAATCAGCAACCCAAACCAGGTTAGCAGGCAGAAGGAAAAATTATTCTTGTTTAGGGAGAGGGACTGCTGAGGCCTAAAAATGTGCAAGAGAATGAAGCAAGCCATGAAACCGTAGTGTTTGTATTATAATAATAAAGTGTATTTCCTGGATAATATAGTATAGTATATATCTAGGTATTCAGGAGTTTTACAGACATGCTGACTCTCCTAATGTGAAAAAGGGGAGCCCCTAGTCGTACTCTCACAGTTTGGGATGTTGTTAGGACCTCTACCCAGATGTATCTTTTACTCTCATGCTCAGAAATGGGCTTCAGTCCCGCAGAGTTCAATGCTAGACTCCACACAGGGGTGTGATTTAGTTACACTTCCTATTTCTTTAACCTGCACAAAAATCTTGGTGTCTGTATTTATCAAAACTCTCAGCGCTCCCAGGTGAGAAGTCATTGTAACTTTTCATATGTTGGAATTCAGATTTCACCCCCTGTGACTAACGAAAAATGTTGGAAACTATAGAGAAACATGCTAGATTTTTAAAGATGCTTAAGAAATAAACCTTGGCTACAAATGAGGAATACTTATTTTCAATAGTAGAGGAATCTTGCTTGAACTGTTCAATTAAGTTTAACTGTGTTTATTCACTGTCCTTTTTTTTTATAAAACAATTTTTGGTTAGATGGATGATGCAAGAGAGAAAATATATTCTCTAAAACAAGTGTCTTGTGTTGTGTTTTGATTTAATCCTACAATTTAAATAGATGCTCTTGACAGCTGATACTGGAACTTTGTTCCCTTTTGCAGTCGGATGTCGACAATGACCTGGTTGGAGATTCCTGTGATACCAATCAGGACAGGTATGCTGTGAGAGAGGCTAGTCCTGAGCTGAAGCATTTGTGAAGAGCTGTAATCCCTCTGTCTAGCCTGGATTTAATTCCAGAGGGATGTTATTTAAAAAACAGCATTAGTATTTATTGGCCTTGTTTGTTCACTTTCCTGTGGTAGTACACTTATGGAGCCTTCACCCTTATAGCCATTCACACAGGCTTACGCTGAGTTCCTGTGGAAGTGACATTCAAGCAGTTCTCTGGCTGTGAAATGCAGAGTAATGCTCAGAGCTTCTTAGTGAGAAAATCTCTTTCCTTTTTCTTTTTGTTTTTCATTCCTCTTTTATTTCTCTGTTTCCTAAGCAGAAATTTCACATTTACGGGCTCTATGTTTTTCCTTAAGAACCTAGTGTTGCAGAAACAAAATTTTATTATAAAGTGTTAAACACTTGCAGAGCAACTCCTTTGCTTTAGTACAGCAAGACTGGCAAGGATCCTTTCTCTATGGCTTTCATATGCCTTGAGCATTCACAGCAGCACATCCCATGACAAATTGCATCACTTTTCTGGAAGCAGCTTCAGCATAACCAGATTATGGGATGGCAGGTCCTCCCACATGCACCTCACTTACAGCAAGAGGCAAGGGATTTGACAAATCCTGTGCTGTCACAGAGTTTCACCCCAGGGCTGTTGGTGGGTGCTGCTCTCTGCAAAAAGACCTGCAGGGAGCCCACTTTCATGTCTCTGAAGGGATCATTCCCAATCTTGAGCTAGTAGCTGCCAAGGCCATCAGCATTTTACTCTTAAACTGATATGTCTTTGCTCTTTCTTCTGTTTTTAAAAAAGGACTTTTTCCCTCCCTTATAAATTTCACTAATGTGAATGTGTGTGAAGCATTTCCTGTGTGAAGCATACTTAACCTTGCAGTAGATACACATGTATGGTGTTTATTGCATTTTATCTCAATATTGCAAATATTGATTACTCTTACCTAAAATTAAAGCGTATTTCTTAAGCAGGGGCGACGTATTTGGGAATATTCCTACCTATAAGCCATAGCGTGACCTTAATTTGGTTGTAGGCCACTTCTACTCCACCTGCACTAATAAGAAGCTACTGAGGGAAAACATGCCTGCTAATTGCTAGAAATCAGTTTTGTTTTGGTGTGAATACAAAACACACCACACTTTGGGCAGGTTTATTTCAGGGATGCACTTAACAGTTGGGATGGAGAGGTTATGTAGCCACCCATAACTTCTTGCACCTTCTTCTGTAGTCTGTGTCCCTGGGCCTGGTGGCTCTTCACTGTAACCAGCTGATGCAGCCAAGGCCTGGAGGGAGCTACAGACTTTCTCCTCTATTTCTTACTGCATGTCCCAGCTGCAGGATGGCAATCATTCACTTTGGAAAACACCTTCAAGACCATTGAGTACAAGCACTAATGTAGCAGTGCCAAATCCACCATGAAAACTTGCTATGCAGGAAGGTGATTAAAAACAGTGCTTGTTTTCAAATGTCTGATTTCAGGTGCTCATGTAGAGTGTCAAGTGTAAAGTTTCATTCACACTCACACCTGCATGTTCATGAGCACAAAGACACGTGTACGTAAGACAAGGTCCAGCTCTTGCTGTCTTCTGAGTGCCTGTTGATTGGTGACACTGCACTTGCTGGATGTGTTCCCTTTAGGAGTGGACACTGACTGGGTTCTTGGGCTCCAGTATGTTTCTCACACCATGTAAGGCTTACTTACTGTGAGAATTTTTGGCTTGGTCTTTGCTTTCCTGCCACCTTATCTTATCTGAGTCTCTTTTTTCCTGCTCTCCTTGCAGTTCAGCCACCTGAGCAAAAACAGGTTTTGTTGCCTGCTGGTCTGCTTCCAGCTCCAGAGCTGCCACTGTTGTGTTTCCCCCTCAGGTGTCCTTGCTGTTCCCTGTGCAGAGGCAGGAGCTGACGCTGGTATACCATTTTTTTTTGTTTTTGTGCTTGCAGCGATGGTGATGGGCACCAGGACAGCACAGACAATTGCCCTACTGTTATTAACAGCTCCCAGCTGGACACAGATAAGGATGGGCTGGGTGATGAGTGTGATGAGGATGATGATAATGATGGCATTCCTGACCTCTTACCCCCGGGCCCTGACAACTGCAGACTGGTCCCCAACCCAGGGCAGGAAGATGATAATGGTAAGATGGGCCTTCAGGAGCTGTTTTGATTCTCAGGCATTCATCTCCAGGCTGTATGCACCAGGATGCAACACAACCATTAGCAATGCATACACTCATCCCAAGAACAACAGCAGCACTCAGGGACCCTTTAGCCAAAACAGAGGCACTTTCTCAGGCACTACAGCCAGCAGAGCTGACACTCTGCGTGCTTCTTGGACACCCTAATCCCATGGCTGGGCCAGATATCACTACTTGCTGCACCATAAATCTCCTTTTCCTTCTCTGATGCATTCAGGTGATGGAGTTGGCAATGTCTGTGAGTCTGATTTTGACCAGGATACAGTGATTGATCGGATCGATGTGTGTCCTGAGAATGCAGAGATCACCTTGACAGACTTCAGGGCCTATCAGACAGTGGTGTTGGACCCAGAGGGGGATGCGCAGATTGATCCCAACTGGGTGGTTCTGAACCAGGTAAAAATACACTTGGTCTTTCTTACCTGTTTGAGAAAGATCATTTGATAACAATAAAATTGGCTCTGTAATTGCTGGACCCCTGGCAGACATGAAACATGGAAGCTGTTGATTAGTAGACTATTTTCAAGAGTAATAATGACAGAATTTTCCTTTTGATAGGCTTCAAGCTATCAAAATTGATATTCTCAATAATCAAAACCAGTTATATACTAGCCAACTTACTCTGGGTGGATTTTGCTACTGCTAGAAGGCAGACATGTGTTACCCCACTGAAATATTTCTGTAGCAAACAAGTTTCATTAATCCTTCTGATAATTTAAAAGTCTGACATGCTAAATAACAGAGCATTTCATAGAATCATAGAATGGTTTAGGTTGGAAGAGACCTCAAAGCTGATCTAATTCCAACCCCAACCTGCCATGTGCCCACATACATCACTAGACCATGTTTCTGAGAGCTCCAGGCAGCCTTGAACACTTCCAGGCTTGGGGCATCTCTGGGCAACCTGTTCCAGTGCCTCACAGCCCTCAGAGTTAAACTTTTTTTCCTCATACCTAATATAAACCTACTTGCTCTTACATTTAATCCATTGCCCCATGTCCTGTCACTGTATGTTCTTGATAAAATATCCTTCTCCATCTTTCTGGTAGGCTCCCTTCAAGTACTGTAAGGCCACATCCCAAAGTCTTCTCTTTTCCAGGCTGAAAAAAGTCTGATTCTCTCAGCCCATGTCCATAGCAGAGGTGATCCATCCCTCTGGTCATCTTTGTGGCCTCTGGACTTGCTCCGACAGGTCCATGTCCTCGCTGTGCTGGTACTCTAGAGCTGGATGCAGTACTCCTGGATGGAGTCCAGTAACCTATTTACACTAACAAATTTTAGCCTTCAGGTGGCTAATGTCTTATGAGTCACAGGGAATATGCAGTTTTTTCCCATTGCAAAAATCTCTGCCAAGCCAGCTGGGATGTATACATCTTCCTTAACCCAGTCCTGGCAGTCAGTTTAACCCTGAACTCTGTGATCCAGCTGTATGAGCTAAGCCTAGGAAAAGCTCTCCTACCACAACCCTCTTCCCTCTTTCCCTGCACCCCAGTTTTGGCCAGATTCAGATTTCCAGAAGATTGTGGTAGGGAAAGAAACTATCAAAATACCAGTATGACTAATTCTGCACTAGGAAAACTAACAAATCATTCCCAACTCATGCTATGCAAGCAGCTGAAATATTGATTATGTATTTGATTACAATTCTCACTGATTTTAGTTCAGACCTACAAGTGTCACAGATACGTTGTGAGCAAAGAGAAGAATGAAGGAGATGCTAGAGGAAGACCAGAAAAGGCTGTCAGGCTTAGCTAATCCAGTTTGCCACACATGCTAACCACCCTGAATTTACCTTTACAGGGGATGGAAATTGTGCAGACCATGAACAGTGATCCTGGCCTTGCTGTTGGTATGTAGTCTCTTCTGAGATTCAAGTTTTAGATCAGAAAATGCACAGAATATGAATGTGTGTTCTGTAGAACTGTTTTTAACTTGTGTGTACTCTTAGGTTACACGGCTTTTAACGGCGTTGACTTTGAGGGCACTTTTCATGTCAACACAGTGACAGATGACGACTATGCTGGCTTTATTTTTGGTTATCAAGACAGCTCTAGCTTTTATGTAGTAATGTGGAAACAGACGGAACAGACGTACTGGCAAGCAACTCCCTTCAGAGCTGTTGCAGAGCCCGGCATTCAGCTAAAGGTACTGGTGGTGGCTCCTAGCTAAGGACACAGTGCTCACTGCAGCCTGGCTGTGCCATCTTGCATGTGCTGGCCATGGGCTAGGTGATCACACCATGCATAAGCCAAACCACTACACTGCATGCCAGCTGTGCTGACTGCTGTTCTCTATTGGCAGCTGCTGTCAAAATGGTTAAGTCAGGCAGCTGCCACACAGCCCTTTTAATAGCACTGGTTTTTTAAGGAACTTCATCTTGCCTTTCTGATCCACTGGAGCATTTAGTCTCCACAGTGATTGTGCTCTGACCTTGACTGGCCAGATTGCCTCCTTTTCCTTTGTCCAAGAACCCAGCTGGTTGCTTTGTCCACGTAGGCAGTGGCTGCGGCTGTAGAACAGAAGTCAGGGGCTTTTTAGCAGCAGAGAGTATGCTTCTGCAGACCTGCTCCTCACTAAAAAAAATCTTGGCTCCTGAAAGTGACTTCTGTCCGTGGCCAGTGTTGGAAAATTTTATTTTTGCAGGCTGTGAAATCCAAGACAGGTCCTGGTGAGCACCTCCGCAACTCTCTCTGGCACACAGGGGACACCAATGATCAGGTCAGACTGCTCTGGAAGGACCCCCGAAATGTAGGGTGGAAAGACAAAGTCTCCTATCGCTGGTTCTTGCAGCACAGACCTCAGATTGGTTATATCAGGTAAGAGAGGGAAGGATAGATAAGGTGAGTACAGATACATGTCTGCCTAAACTGTAATTTCTCAACACCTGATTCAGATGATAACCTGAGAATTTCTGTTATGTCTAGGCTTTGTACTGATGAAGGCTTGTAACAAATTAGACTTTTGGAATTCAGCCTGCAGCTCTTTTCCTATACAATTTCAAGTTAAACCTCTTTATATGGACCATCTGTCTCTTAACTGTGCTTACTCTGATGAGCTCTTTTCTGGCTTTAATACCTTGTTTTCCAAGCTATGCTGGCCACTGATCTGAAAAGCAATATATTTCAAATTTTCTTAATTTTTTAGAATATTTTTCTTGGAATTGGGATAGTTCATTTATGTATTCTGGAATAAAAGAATAAAAGTTGTCCACTTAGAAGTTGTGAATGTAACTAACAAATAATTATCTTTATGTGATAGATTCAAGATTACTCAGCATATAGCAGAAAGTTTGTCAAAGCTTAGTAATGAATGTTATATATCCTTCTTTTGGTTTTTTTTTGGGGAAAAAAAGTTAACAATATAAAAAAAATCACCATTCAGGATGAAACATTTTATTCTGCAACATCCAGCAATCAGCAAGAATTATGCTTGTAGATCAAGGCTGATGTTAAAATGCAAAAAACTAACTGCCCTGGCACGATCAAATCAGGTCTTTCAACCTTATAATAGAACAGAAATATGGGTAAGTCACCTTTTCTTCAAGAAAACCATCACCCTGCAGTTGACACACAGTAACTTGATGTAATTATTCCACTTTTCTAGTGCAGAGCATCATCTTCAGTAGTAATTGGAGTGAGCATGATTCACTTTTTTATGCTAAAATGGATTAAAAACATTTATATTGTCAATTATTGTGCCCCAGCCACAGGGCAGTAGCAAATAGACCTTGGGTGGCAACTTACCTTTAGACCAAGAAGTTAGTGAAGCTGTTGCATGAGCAAACATATCCTATGGCTGCAGTCTCCCCAGCCAGCCTAAGTAATGCTCCCTGTAACTGGGAAAAGTAGCACAGTCTGTGTCGCAGAATCCTTTAAAACTAAAGGCATCCAGGCCTAAAGCCAGCCTCTGTCAGCTCTCTGCCCACTCTTGCTGCAGTCTGGTCAGGGCAGATGCCACAGACCACTGCTTGTCTAGCGAAGTTTTTGGAGGCTTCAAGGAAGCCTAGGAAAAAGTCACTTGAGCCAGCCCCTCCCATGGAAATTTGCAAGACAGGAAGTTCTATTCATTGTACACATACTTTTGAATTGCCTCAGTAAATCAGTAAATAAAGCCAGAAACATAACAGGATTTGGGTTTTTTCCCTTATTTTATGAAAAGACACAGGAACTTTCATTCCTTTCACCATTCGCTCATTTCTTGTATACAGAAATGTTCAGCAGTATCCTCATCCACAACAGGGTCCTCCAAGGCTCCTGGTCCTCTAGGTCATTTACCCAGTATCCCATAGGCTGAGGACTTGATTTGGGCAGTGCTCCAACAAACAGCTCAGCTGGCTCCAATGTGGTCCTGCTCAAGCCCACAATACAGAGGACACAATTAAAAGCTGGTGGGGTGCAGCTTTCACAGGGCTATTTGGAAATTTGATGATGGGTTTTCTAACAAGAAGATGCTAGATCAGCAAAAGAGTTCCTGGAGTTAATTATATGCACATTTTTAAAGAAATCTCACAGACAAGTTTAAAATCCCAATGGTTTGTTTGAAACTTTTCCTATTACAAAAACAAAAAAAAAAGTTCAGCTTCAGACTTCAAACTGTGCAGTATCCATCTGGCCTTCTTCAACTGACCTAGTCTGGTTCTCCTATCACTCCTATCACAGTGATATCTCCTATCACTGTGGAAAATTCAAGAGCTAAAGCACTCAGCTGGAGTGACAACAGGAAAAAGTAAAACATTCCAAAGCTTTTTTAGCATATATAGAAACCTCTCAAAAACCTCCCTTGTCTGGCTCTTGCCAGTATGCAGTATTGCTCCAGTTCCCAGCCTGCACAGGAGCTACCTTAATTGCTTTTTCTTCCCTGGCTAGATGAGAGGGATAGCATGTCCAAGTAATAGCGTCTCCATGGATAACAACATTACCTTCAGGAATGTTGCAGCCTTCAAAAAGACCTAATAAAGCTTCTGTTTGCTTTCATTAAGGGCAAGATTTTATGAAGGCTCTGACCTAGTGGCAGACTCTGGTGTAACTATAGACACCACGATGCGTGGAGGACGGCTTGGAGTTTTCTGCTTCTCTCAGGAAAACATTATTTGGTCCAACCTGAAATATCGCTGCAATGGTAATGTTGCTGTTATGCCATTTTAGCTAACAATTAAGTGACAATGAAGAACCAGTAGTAAGGCTGTTGGATTAAGCCATTTAGCATTCTGTCCTTTGCCCTTCCTTTACAAGTTATTCACAGCTGTGAAATGCCTCCCCTGACACCAGCAGCACACTGCAGCCAGGCAGCCAGGAACTAACACCTCACAGCTGCTCCTCCCACAGCAGTCACTGCTACAGAGAATGTGCCATCTGAATGTGCCATCTGAATAGCTGTCATCAGGGAATTAGGAATGTTATATAAAACCAACTGACTGTGAAAGCTGTGCACACACAATAAATACACTGATGCCAACATGTATGTAGATGCCTTGAGCTTTGAATACAAGGTGAAATACACCTGGAGAGTCAGTGAGCTTAGGCATCGGGCATCACTGTCACTTGTGTACTTGCTGGCTGGTCCTGTGGTGGGGGGACAAGATCATAAGATGCCTTTCCTCCCATGTGGGAATGCTTCTGATTCTGTGGGAGCGTGCTGGCTTACTACTCTTGGGGAAGGAGCCTTTTAGCTTAGCACTGATCATCCATTATATAAAATAACTCAAACTTTAGTCACTCACACATAAGCTGATCATTTCAGGGTATTTCTGTCCCAGCAGCAGTACAGGTAACTTGAACTGGGGCTGAAGGTGCTGCCTGTCCTCCTCTCAGCATCTATATCCAGCCTTTGGAAAATAATGTACAGCCAAGTTGGAATAGTTTCCTTGTCTGCTTTCTGCGGATGCGAGAAGCCCAGTCCAGGACTGTAGGGGACATGGCCACTCTGTGGCGTGTTATGTTGATGGACTCTGGTACTTGGACACTTAGTACACTGAGGCTGGCTGTTGGAGGTCACAGTTAAACAGGGAACTTCTAGACAGTAGTGCTTACAAATAAAAATTAATTGGTTAAGTATTTTCAACAATATTGTGGTTTCCCAGAAAGTATGTATCAAAGCTGCCACTAAGTCACACTTACATGGCAGTGAGCAGGCAAGTGGCATTGCTACAGGAACTACATGAAGATAATGAAACCCACTCAAAAAGACTCTGAAGTCCCACAGTATCTCTGTTTCCATATCAGAGAAGTTCCTACATTATGCAGAAAAAGCCTGAAAGAAATGTCAAGCCTTTTAAAAGTGTTCAACCAAAAAGCAAAGGACTTACCCCTTTTTCTACATGTATGTGTTTAGACACATATCCTTTTTTTGCATTTAGATCTACCTCTCCTGCATCAGGGTGGAAATAATTGGAGTCAACTTGAGGTCATGCAGCTTTGTTGCTGTGGCTCCACTGCCGGCCACAGCTTTAACTCTGTGATATGTCTGTGGCTCTCTAGATAAAAAGTTCTGGGATCTGGCAGACTGCAAATAACGCTTCAAACAGAATTGGAGCTGCTCTTATGACATTGATCCATCTCCAGCTCCTTCTTCCAAGTCTTTATGCCAGTTGCTATTGGTCCTGGGGTTAATGCTTTTTTGTCCCTTTTTGTGGCCTGGGAAACCATCACAAGGAAGTTGAATTAGAATACAAGAGAAATTGAAATGCTGATGCTGCAAATGTGTCTGACTTGCAGAGCAAGACAAGCACTTCTCTTGCCTTTCTGGTTGTCGTGGTTTTAAAGCACTAGCTAAAAAATTACTAGAAAAATTTACTCATTTCTTGCTGTGAGATATGGATTAGGAGAAGGGCAAAACAGGCTTAAAACTTAAAAGCCATAAACGAAGTTTATTAACAAAAATACAAGGATAAGAAACCCGAATAAAACCACTAGAAACCCTTTTTCCCCACCCACCACGCAACCATTCCCTTGTCCAACTGACAGCATAGACAAAACCTGGTGATTAAAATAGTCCCAACTATATAGTAGCTTTCATCAGTCTTTGTAGAGAAAAAGTTCTCTTTTTTCAGTCTGTGGAGCTTTTAACAAGAAAACCGTTTTCTCATGGCTTTCTATTTCTCTGATGCCAGCCACCCAGAAACTCTGCCATCAGTTCTTTCCTCCCATTTCCCACTACTCTGAGGTGTGTTTATGGGCCATGATTCAAGGGGTGTCATTTTAAGGATGAGTTATTCAAAGGCAAAAGTTCTCTTCATCTGTCTCTGTGATCATCTCTGGAAACAGATGTTTTCTCTTTGTCTCTTAAGGGCCACAAGTCTTCATCAACTCTCACTTCTCCTTTTCTGTTCCAGCATCTCACAGGATCACAACTCCTTCATCATTTGCTCAGCTCTATCAATGAATTACCTTTGCTTAGATCCACACTTTGAAATACTCCATTTCCCCCAAAATACTCTCATGAATTAAAGGAGTTTTTTCAGAACTTTTGAATTACTGAATTATTGTCCATCTCCATACTTCTAACAAAAGAATATTTCAGCTTATTAGTGGATCTTATTCTCTTCCTATCTGAGGCTCAGTTCCTTTCCTCACTGTTTTTGATAGTTTATGTTGTCTCTTTACATGTTGATCACTCTCTCTTCCCCCCTCTCTGGAAAAAGGATTAATCTGCAAGTCTCATCTGGGTTAAACTCTTGCCCAGGCCTTGTGGCCTTGTGGATAGTCCTGTGATCTTTGCCAGAGCAGCAGCTGGAGCTGTCTGCAATGGAAGATTTTCGGTGGCTGCTCTGGAGAGTGTGGTCACTGTCTCAGCCCGCCGCAGGTCAATGGCCTTCTCTCTCCTTACTCGGGAATCTCTGGTGAAACTCAGCCACGATAGAAAATCTGCAGCCGAGCCAGGGACCAGCCTGTCCCGGTAGCCCCACTGGTACAAGGCTCAGCGAGCCCTCCAGGAAGGGGCTCAGACCCTCTGGGAAGGGGCTCCTGACACTTCACAGTCTCCATCCTCCCCGGGAACTGCAGGAATCCAGCCAGCCCTGCTCCCCCCGTGGCCCTGTCCAGCCTGGTGGGGGGAGAGGCTGAACCAGAGCCCTGTTACCTATTCAACAGCCAGAAACTAAAGAGAGAGAGAAATTCCCAGGCTTAGGTTTTAAAGGGTGGTGCTCACAGGTTGATCTCACTTTTCAATGGTCAAAACTACTGTCAATTCTCAGAAATGGCCAGCTATTGGCCAGGAGAAAAAAATCCCAGCAGCCTTAACTTCTTTAGCTGTTTCCTACTTTTTTTCTTAAATGCCAATCTATCACACTGGTCAGTGTTTATTGATAAAAATTTAAGAGCGCTAGCCACAAAGTTTTCAGAGATATGTAATTTGAAGATTGATAGTACTTCTTTGTTGGGCTGGCACTGTAGCACTCACTGTCTTGTTAGCCTCTTTGTGTTTTTCAGTGGTATCCAGCTAAAACTGAAAACACTCCTTGTTAGCTGAAAAGACAGTAGGTGGTGGATAAGTGCTCCTTAATTTTTTCAGAAGAGACTAAACTTCTTCATATTTTCCTGTTTTCAGACACCATCCCAGAGGACTTTCAAGAATTTCAAGCGCAGCAATTTGGTGTTGGGGATATTTAAGAAGTAAAAGCAAACTAACATTGCTATTGCAAACAGTAAAACAATATATTTTAAATCCTTATATTATTTTTGTTGTCAGAGTGCACACTGCAGCTTTGTTCTCATTGATGTGACTATGTCAGACTTTTTTTTTGTATAAAAGTGAAAATAAAAAGGAGACAAAATAGACTTGGGCTTCACTTCTTTTCAAATTTGCCCTAAAATCTAGAGAGCAACATGTAAATGGAATGACAGCTTGCTTAAAAAAAAAGTTTGAATCTATTGCCTTTTTGGATTCAGTATTAAACAGGGTGGGGAAGAAAGTGAAACTTTTTCTACCTTGAATGTGTTGTAAACAGCAGGTTGCACCTGGTAATGAAGTGGTTTGGAGCTGTTTGGCTGAGCCAAGTAATACCTTTCCTGTCCTCCTAGGAATAGGTTGTGTCTCCTTTAGGAAATTTTAAGGCCTTTGGAGACTGTTACCTTTGGCAGACCTCCTCTTAAGCAATGTATTAGATCTCCCACTCTAAAAAAACTCTGAGGAACACTATCAAATCCTGGAAAAGCAAAAAAGCTGACAGCAGAGCATTGTAGTCACATCTTAAGACTTGTATGCAACTAAAACAAACAAACAAAAATACAACAGAGATAATAAATTCAGAATCACCTAGATAAAACAGTCCTAACTTTCATATACACAAAGCCAGGCTTTGACCTGTTGCCAGAGTCAAGCTCTCTAGGCAGGTACTACAATATTATGCAAAGAAGTCACCAAACTAAGACCCCAAAACATTGCATTAAGCATTAGTTACCATTAGGAAAGGACTAAAAACAGCAAGGAGAAACTGTATCAAAATGCACTCTAATTTGAAATGCAGAAAGATGTTAATACAGTGTGCAATTTTACTACATTCTCTTTCAAAATGGAGCTAGGAAGTGAGGGAGGACAAGCTTCAAGGACTTTTGAATAGATAGGATAGTTACTTTAAAAATAACTATGTACTTTTAAAATAACTGTAGGATAGTGACTTTAGAAAGGACAGTTAGAAATGGCACTTCAGCGTGGAGGGAGGAGGAAGGAAGAAACAGATAGGGAGGGAACACAATGAGTTTTAAAATCAGAAGTAACCTTGGGAAAATGAACAGTCCTAGCTCTTTTTCAGCACAAGGATACAGGGGGAATGCTGAGTTAAATTATCAGGTGAAAGCATCAAACGACAAAAAAACATTTCTTGTTCTCAGTACAATAAAAATACTCCTAAGGATATTACAAGCTATCAGAGGCTTTGACTACTTGCAGAATTTTCCCGTGGGCTCCTCCATCATTGCCAAAGTTTCTGGAAGCAGGATGGCCCTAGGAGCTGTCCCACAAGGATCCCAGAGTCCCACGACAAAAAGCACGATGCAGAAGCATTCTTTTGGTTCAGTGCTTCATGATGAAAGGTCCTCCAGTTTCAGTCCTCCTTTCCCCTTGGCATCACTAAACCCAACCACTCACCAGATGCCTGAGGACTGAAAGGCTGTTTTCTTTGAAGCAACAGAGGGCATTGTCAAATTATGCTTAATAGATGACAAAAAATGTGTTTTCCTAGCTGAGCATGGGCTGTAACTACAGTATTGTTCATTTATGAAGGAGAACACACACTGTAAAACAAATTTACATCTTCCTTATCATACATTTGCATTTCACCAGAAGAATCCCCTTCTCCAGGGAGAAATCCTCTCTGAATGGTCTGGGCATAGCCTGAGCAGAAGGCAGTCACTACACTCACCCATACCACCTCTGCAGAACACATGGGGCCTGCAGTGCTCACATTTTGCACAAGTGGTCTCCTCACGGTGGATGCAACAGGCCTGGCCCACCCTGACGTGTCTGCAGCACACACTATAGCCCCATCATGAAACATCACTGTACTTGACCTGCAAATCCTTGCCAGGCTCCAAAGCTCTGCTCAGCCCCCCTGTCTGCAGCCAGAGCCTCTCCTGCTACAGTGGCTGGGAGGGAGCAGCCTGGCCCTTTGCCTTTATCAGCTGGCTTATCACCATGGAGCTTGCTTCTTCCAGGCTCTCTTCCAGTACATGGCCACTGGAAGCTGGAAGGTGAGATATAGGCTCAGGGTCTCGTGCTGTTGCCAAAGGCAACAGTGTGTGAACAGTGTGAAACTGTGAGGCTCTAACCTCCCCTGAGAGAAAACCTACTGGTTTCCAGTGCTGACAGCCACAGATAAAAGTTACAAGTCAGACAGCCAGAACTTACATTTCAGAAAAAGCTGTTGGTACCTTATGATGGGGTGCTGGAGCTTGCTGTGTCTATTGATACACCAACTGCTGGGCAGCCTATAAACTCAAGAGTGAAGCCAGCTGTAGCAAACATTTGTCCCACAAAGATCCCAGTCTGGGCTTGGGAAACCCTCTGCCTCTCACATTCTCATCAGTGATTGTGCAGTCCTTGTTTAAAAGCATTTTAAAAAGCTTCCCTAGCACCACAACCCCTTTCTGGACTATTGTGCAATGCAGACATAGCTCCATGTGTGGCCTCTGGCAAGTGAAGACACTGCAATCCCACATCTTCAAAACTGAGTATGTAGCTCACTCTTGACCCCAGCGCCTGCACAGCAGGACTGCGCTCAGCTGGAGCAGCAGCTGTAACTACTTCAGAGTTCAGAGTCCTGCACCAGGATCCACCCTCTTAAAAAAGGTTAACTCTTTCCTGTGTGCTGCAAACACCATGGCAAACACACTTCAAGTGCTTCTGTTCCCTGAAGACCATCTGGTTGGAATCGCAAGGAGGGAACATCCTGCCAGGATGCTGCAGTGATGGGTGAGGGAAGTGATGGGCAGACTGGCGGGAGGCTGTGGAGCACAGGCACTTGACTGCTTCAGTCCTTGGGCACCACTCAGAAACCTGTCTCTGCCTTGCTCCTAGGTCCAAACACACACCCTCCCAGCTCCATGCAGAGCTCTCTCACCCACCAGGCGCTGCACAGGGAATCGTAGCTACCATTGGAAGCTTGGTAAGGAGTTTCTCAGAACCACACTGTTGTGGGTGTGGTCAGCTCTCTGGCATGGGTGCCAGCAGTACCAGGAGGCAGCCTGCAGCTGGCACACACCGAAACAGGACACGACCAGTGAGAACCACCACCCGCGAAGACAAACCACCTTCCTTGGTGTGGATCTCAGCATGTCAAATTCAACAGCTGCCCACTCCACCATCTGGGCAAGTGAGGGGGAAAAAAAAAAGAAAAAAAAAAAATCAGAAATCTGTGTCTCAAAACAGCTGCACAATGCTTCAGTGCTACATCAGCCTTGAAGATATTTTGTTTGCACTGCCAGGATACCTTACACATCTCGGGAAGCTGGATTATACAGAACAGATGCCACAGACAAACCTTTGCAATCTGCCATCATCCAGTATCACACACCAGAGAAATACAAAACAACATGGACATTGAAGGCCTCTAATATTCCATGGAACAGCATTTTTTGTTAACATTGAAATACAGTGGGGAGAAAAGAAAGATAGACCAATTTACTGGCTCGGTAACTGCACAGCTCATATATTTAGATTATTTTTTAAGTTTCTTCTAGAATAAACTGTCTTTGTAACTTAAATGTATCACAACAATTCATTTCAAATGTAAGAAAAATTTTATTGGTCCATTAAACATTAAATCTGTAACAATACATTCACTCAATATACAAAAGGAAGTGTCCATAAAAACCAGTAACATGCTAAAAAGGCAAAGCTGTTGACTATTTTATAAGTAAGATCTTACAATTCTGGAATCTTACTAATCCTTAAAAGTCAAACTGTTACAGTTACTAAAGACCACAACACTTGCAAAAAAGTTAAATAAACTAGCAAACTTCCACTTCACTGGGCTACATCTTAATAAAATAAAACTACACATTCACACCAAAAAGTTCCCTTGAGATATTAAGAACCTTGAAAAAGACTAATTAAAATCCCCTCACCATTAAGATAATGTGTTTATATTTTGACTGTTTTGCATCCAGTTTTTGAACATGGCATATATGAGACTGAACATCATGCATCAGTGGTGAACAAAAAGCAGACACTGAACCCATATGTTCCTAGTAAATCTTTTCTCAGCTTGTATATTACAAGTAGAATGATTTTATCTGGAAGCTAATGCTCTGCACTTTAAGTCTGTGTGGATGTCCAAAGGACACCTAAGCACCTGGACTTGTATCAGTAAGAGGAAAGCTAAAGCTATGGTATGTCCAATGATCCATTATTTCCCCATAGCTTTCCAAAATTCTTGGCTTCGCACTTTCTTCTTGGCTTCACGCTGAGGCTTCTTTGGCAAAAAGCATGGCTGAAATGCTGCACCCTGCAGCACTGGTGACTTTAGCCCTGGAAACTTTAGGCTGCTGGAGTGGTTTCAAAGCTGATGAATGTGGCTCTGAACAAGTCTGTGGAAATGCCTGTACGCTACACTCTGGGAACTCTCAGAGACTGGCAAGCAGTGGGGAAGCCAACGTGGCTTACATCTGAAAGAAATTCTAACTTTTTAAAAACAACGTTTTTGAACAGCTGTCGAAAGAAGCAAATCCAAATTCGATAAAAACCCCTAAACAAGACTTACAGAATCCCCTTGAGCATTAGAAAGCAGTCGTCATGCCAGTCTCTCAAAGCTGCTGCTTCAAACTCTGCACAATATGTCTACATCCCCATCCTGGGGCACTTGAACATTACCATGAGGATGTGAAAAATGCACAGACATACCAGTTCCCAAGCTACGTATCCTGTTCTAAGTAAAAAAAAGCTACAGCTTTCTAAGCACTTGACTCCTGGCATTCATTTGTACAGTCATGTGAAACACTAAATTCTAACTACTGGTTACAAAACTGAAAACACGAGTAAAATGTCATGGTGTTCACTGTGTGTTTCCCTCCCACAAGAACTCGTAGGCCACTTCAGAAAACAAAGAAGCAGTTTTCACAGAAGAAAACTGATCCATGTAATAAACTATGATCTTTGACTCTGCTTCAATGCTGCAGGTTGTCCTGCTATGAAAAGCAAAGGATCAGTAAGACTTGGCAAAGAGGTCTTTGCTAGTTTCTAGCACCAAAAACATCCCATTTGACAGGCAGCAGGTTGTCTGGGAAGGAAGGAGGTTTACATTGCCTTTAAAAAACATATCCAAGGAGAAAAAGGCAAATAAAATGAGGAGATACAGCCTCCAAGCAAAAGACATTGCTACTAAAGCCCAGAAGGAAAATGAGCAAAATTTTAGCTGTGGATAATCTCAGCTCATCCAGCCACAGAGGTAGGCTCTTGTGGTATTTTACTTCATCAGCTTAGGAGAAAAGCCTAGCAGTTCATAAAATCTTTACAGCACAGTTTAAAAACAGTCAATGGATTACTTTGTTGCTGATCTGCTCAGAGATGCCCAAGATACTATGGACTGTTAGCCAAAGTTCAAGCAGCACTATCTCAAGTACCCAAATTTTCCTGATGCCATCATTCAAAGCCAAAGAACTGTTAAAAAACAGCTTTTTCACAAGTGCAAGGGTTGCTTCATTAATAGCAATGTTCTAGCCCAGAAATGGCTGCAGCAGTAGCTGTCAAAGCAATTACACATGCGTAATTTATAATCTCAAAGCACTTATAGACTTGTAAAAAGGTGCTAAAACACAAAATAAATAAATAAATAGACATGCAGTGTTTATGATTCTGTGAGAGGACAAACCCTCTCTCTGGACTATGCACATATTAGCAACACTAAATTCTGCATTTCAGAGGAAAGCAGCCCAGCCCAAACAGGATTTACCACATTAGCTGGGCATGTACAAGATGTTTGAACCTCATAGAAATGCTTGAAGGAGAAAGCTGTGAGTATCACAAACATGCAATACCTTCGATGTGCGATTGCAGTGGAGCTCCTTACTTGGCATCCAGCTGCAAGGGCTGCCTGCACACTTAGAGGAACTATGTGGCAAACAGCAAAGAAATACACCCATCTGTTTTCCACACATCCGTAGTAAAGTTTTATCATTTCATTTGTTAGTCCAGTTACTTGGATTCAGACACTTGCTCTCTGAGTCTGTCCCACTTATTTTACCCCAAACAAGAACCAGTCATGACTGTGGCTCTTGGTTGCCTTCATGTGGAAAAGTAAAATTGTTCCAATCTCAGATGACAGTGCAGCAGTGAAGTCCCAAATAATCTTTATGATGGCAAATATGAAAAAGTATAAAAAAGCCAATAAAATTGTTTCAACCTTCACAGCAGGACTTCTTCAATACTGTCTGCTCCTCCAAGAGTCAATTCAAGATAGCATTAGTTCATCAAATTTAAATAGAGCAAATTTAGTACAGGACACGTTCTCTGGTCTTGCTGTCTTTGCAAGCTTCCTTACTTCACACAGCCCAAAACCACTAGGAGCCAAAGTGTTGCAATGTTTACATCTGGGAACAAATTCAATGAACAATCATGGTACAAGGCAGGATAGACACCATGCTGTGAACTGCCTCAGCAGACAGTCACCTCCACTTCCAGGTATGGGGAGAGAAAGTTAACTGTTTACAGCTTAAATGTAAAATTAATCACTTATTTACAAAAGCATCAGGCTACTTGTGAGTTTTCCCACTTAGTTTTCCACTGCACAGTAAAACCTGAAGCAGTCTTATCCCCAAAGTTTTGTCAAGCACAGATTGTTTGGTCTTCCACGTGCACCCCGGGTCTAACTGTGCCTTGTACACCGGTGTAACGTACAAGGCAGCATCTCCCAGTCACAGGCTCAGTCCAGGTTTTCCAGTTCTAGTGCCACCTGAATTAATAGTTATCACAGCAGTGTAGGTATGAAGGCACTTCTTAAAAGTTTGTTTTTTTTAAAAGCCCATTTGCATGAACTGTTTGGAATCTATGGGCTGGGAATTTGATTCCTTGACCCGAGCCGAGGATTTTGTTATGTAGTTGCACAGGAAGTTCACAGTACAGATTTTACAGCAAACACTAAGGCTGTAACATTTGCCTGGCCAGCAGGAAGACTTGTCTTGGTGAGGAACTAGACTCTCTGCACACCCAAGTGCTACTAGTTACTGATTCTTTAGAAAGGCCTGGAAGTCCACAGCTGGATCTGGGGCACCATGGACACAATACAGGCCCTCAAAGTTATTTATTTTGTGGGGTTTTCCCCCAGACATTTGCTCAAAGAAGACAATTTTGTGTAAACAGGCACTGCCCTATTCCCACTCAGCGTATACCTGCAGATCTAGACACTTAAGGTCAATAGTTGGTAGTTAGAGAAGGATGGAGTAGCAACTCAGTGAGGTGCGTGCTGTGTAAGAAGAATAGACTTATGCCTCACTGTGGACTTTCTTTTTACAGCCTTGTTTCCTCTGTGCAAAACCTATTTCCCTAAACACAAACTGTAAAAAAAAGAGCAACACAAGGAGGTGCGTGAAGCCCTAATGCAAATACTACATAAAATAAGTGTTTCTGTAAACAAGAACATCCAAGGACCAAGATCGGTATTAAGATCATTGACATTTGTGACAGGGATGCCTGCTATCAGAACCAGACAACAGGAATCTTTCCCTGCCTTATAATGACATAGTGCATGCCCTCCTCTGTGAAGGATTTCGTTCTCCTTTCTCTGATTATTCTGTTACAAAAAAAAAAGGCTAATTTAGGGAAAAATCAAATAAACAAACAAAAACTCAACAAAGAAACAAAAAACCCAACTTGGTTTCTCATTTCACATATGGCACTAGAAGGCCAATCTTGCATGCCTTTTAGGATCAGGCAAGGCATGAGCCTGGACTATTTCAGTTGCAGCACACAGCCACAGCATTGGATCAAAACCGTCAGAATTGCTGCTGTGAGTTAGGCAGGGCATCTGTTAATCACTGCACAGCCCACAGGCTCTTATCTTAGAGACTGGACAGATAAATGCTTCTGGATTTTAAGAGCATTAATAAAGGCCTTTTTCAGCTGCAGAAGTATCTGTGTAGCAAGACTCTAAATGCAGGCAGGAATGTTCTGACAGGTCCCCATGCTAGCAGAGCTCTTGGCAGGATCAGAACCTCCTAGGAGAAGCAAAGGAAAAGAGAAAAACCTGCCTCCCTGTCCAGAACTATTGGTTGCTTTTCTAATTCAGTGTCAAAACCCAGCTTCAACTGCTATTTTTAACTCTTGGTGCATGCAAGAACACCAAGGTGGTCGCTGCTGGACAGACTCCTCCTTCCTTCACATCTCAGGACATGTATTTTGATGCTCCAATCACTGGGAAAGGTGGCATAAGTAGGACTGCAGATGTGAAGATTTTGTTTCAGGTAAGAGTGAACAGGGTGGAGTAGATCACATCCCTAGAAAGCTCCAAACAGGACAGAAGCCCTGGGATACCATAACAACAAGGCAACTAAAAATGGTAATGAAAACAAGACCAGAATCAAGATCCAATATGTTAAGATTACTCACCAGGTGGGCACTAACCATTAATTACTACAACAAAAAAACTAGGGCATGCAAATCTTTTGCCAACCCATTGGCCTCCATGTTGTGCTTTTCTTTGATTTGCAGAAAGCAGTGGATGAAGATTTAAGGCTCAATCATACTTTTTTTTAAAAAAGAGCTGCTAAATTGGTTGATATTTTACACTATACATGTATGTGAATATACACGTCAAGAAAGAGAAGATAAAAACCACCAGAACTAGCTCAAATCATAAATTCATCCCACCAGAATGTAAATAATGGTGGGGATTCAACCTTTTTCAGCATTTAGTGCATTTGAGCTGTTGTTTTACCACCAAATCATCTGCTTAAATTAATAAAAAAGAGGTGTTTAATATCATGAAGTCATTTGTACTAAGGCAGCTGCTTGTTATATTTATGTCTTCTGGTTTTGCTTTTCTGACTGCTTACTCCAGTGCTTGGAATAGGAATTCTACAAAAGAATTTCTGTCTCAATGAATATATTGGTTGGCTAAGTCCCATCACAACAGCAAAACTAATATCAACAAAGGAGTATAAAAATATAGAAAAAATACTTTCCAATCAACACACAAGCAGAAAAGATGATGACACACTGTAGTCCTTTTCTGACCATCAATGCATCTAAAATATTATAAAAGTAGTCATGGAAATACAACTGAAGACCTGGGAAACCTTTAAAGACAAGCTGAAACAGCAGGGCAGAAAAGCAAATGAGCACCCCACTTTTAAATTTAACAGCAACTGGCAGTGCTCCCTTAACTATCATTTTCTCAACAGTACACAATGTGAATAAAGAATGTACCTTATCTTACATCCCCATACACTACACTCAACTTTTGAGTGACCTGGCAAAGAAAAACTAGACAAAATTCAGTTTGACAATTTGTGTGCAGAATTCCCCTTCAGTTATTAACTGGGCTAAATCTGATTTGCATAAAATATCCAGGTGCCTTTAAAGTAATAATAGAATAAATACTTTACTATCATTGGTAAATTCCTTTCTCAATCTAGGTATAAAATAACTTAATATATTTAATACTTAGATAAACTATTTTTAGTAGATGCTTTGGCAGCCAAATTTTATATATTCTCTTATTTCTACAGAAGTATTTAGATATGTTTCTGGGAAAAAAAAAAAATCTGGATACTACTTACAAGAATTATATGCTGTACAAAACAGCAGTCCAAATCATCACTGCAAACTGTAAAAGAAACAGTTAATAAAAGAGTATAAAAAAAGAATGAAAGCGTATTTGCTGAAAGATACCAAACATTCATGGAAAGTAAGAAGGTATCTGCACCATGAGTTTTTCTTTTGTTGTCAATGAAGCCAGAGAAGGATTGTCAGTTATTTGAAGAGTATTTCACTTATTCCAGTTTATGCAACAACTGTGTTTTCTACACACCACACGTAAGCATTGTAAAGTTTCAAAACAGATTCGTTCCCTTAGGCAATGCTTGTTCATAATAAAAAATGGTAAAAAAAGTCTTCAATCGTGCTTAGTCTGACTAAAAAGATAGTAACTGGTACATTATGGTAACTGGGTAATAGGAGTTTCCTCATTACAAATGAAAAAGAAAAAAAAAAAGAGAAAAACTTAAAATGACCTTTTGACTGCTCACACTAAGAACTCTCTGGTTGAGCAACAGAGTGGAGCAATAAGAGTCCATAAGTACAGAAAGACACAAACCCAACAGGAGACCATCTTAATCCAGAAGATAGACCAGGTTCCAGTGAAGAATTTTTCAATCTGAGCACTTTCGTAACTGTTAAGGGGAAAAAAAAGAAAAAAAAAAAGGAATGACACAAAAGACTTCAACTAGGCTAACCCATAGAGGAATCAAAGGAGAGCAGCCCTTTATAGAGGAAGATCTTGCTCAAGAATGCCCAAGAAAGACTTGAAATGTCTCTTTAAACTTCTACCATAAGGACAGGAAACATCCAAATAGCAGAACTCCCCATTCGCATCTTCCCTCTCAACACAGAGAAACATTAATTTCTCAGCATTACATAAATACATTAAAGAAATACACTTACTGGAACCAATGAGTTACTGTCATCATAACATAAAGAGAAGCCAGGAAGAAAACAAAGTGGAAGTAGGCATAACTGTACACTGTGCCCTTCTTCTCATCGTAAACCACAGTCTGGCCTCCTCTTTTTTCTACATGATCTTCAGCATCAGCTGTAAGAAACAGGAAACAAGAAAGCTTTGCAAGTGTAGTGAGAACTGAAAACAGCAGCTGGCTTCACAGAGACCACAGCAAAACATTTTTGGTGTGATTTGGGAAAGCGTGATTGACATAGAGTAACACTTGAACATTTCCTTGTCCTCAGGGCATGGGCCTAAACCCCGAGTCAAAATCTGGACTAACAATGAAATCCTGCCTTGTAGCAGCTTCCTGGTTTACTGAGTAGATTTTGAGCCTTGAGAGCATTTAAATTGCTGTACCTGTGCAATATTTTTCTGTCAAGTCCAAGCTGATAATCCTGATTGTATCAGGTCTGCAAACAGGACACCCCCCTCCTATCTCACTCTTGAACTGCAGTCCCTGCAGAGCTGCTGAGCCAAAAGCCCACAGGCATGCACAAACCAGATTACAATTTGTATGTTGCAGGAATGAAATGCACTTTAAAGAATTATTAACTAGCCTAGTATTTTTGAAATGGTGTTGTGATATCTCTTGCTTCCCTCTATAGCCTAACTTAGAGCACTTCATCTGCTTCAATTTGCATTCAGTACTCTACTGAACAAGGGTACCAGCAGCTCTCCATTCACAGCTGTGGCCTTGGTCCAAAAGCCACAAATAAGGTAAATTGTGCAGTGAAAACGTAATTACCATCTCCATCGGGTACACAGCAAAAGCAGCAACGAGCTACCTGTGGAACAGACAACAGGAAGGGGGTAAGAACCTGTGCTACAGCAAAGCAGAACAGCTGGGGAAGGAAAGTCTGTTATGTCTAAACTACAGCCACTCATTTAGAAAAGTCTGGTTTGTATTTCCAACCAGCACAAAACTCAAATTAGGATTTGCCCGGTAGCTCAGAACAGCAGTTTCCAAGCTTTGGAAAAACCTGCTCAGTAAATTTGAAGAAATGAGCCAGTCTCTAAAAATTACTCTACCCATTTTACATAACTCTAGGTCCAACACAGATGCAAATAATTATGACAAAATGGTGGAAAAGCTACAATAAAGAACAAATTGTCCTATATTTAGGGGATTTATCTATTTAGATGGGCATACAAGTGCTTTTTAGGACATTTCTGTACTAAGATCAAAATATAAGAAACTTCTAAAGCTCCAATGCATGGGTTGAAAATCACAATTGTACCAGTGTAAGTCTGAAATGTACTCCTCTTTGCAAGATTTTGCTGAAATGGAGCCAGAATGAGCACAATAAGAATTATGAGTAAAAGAAGAAACCTGGTTTTACCATTTCATTTAAATGAAGATTTCCTTTTTTTTTTTTTTTAACCTGATGGAGAAAGCAAAGCTGAAATTGACACTTTCTGTGTTGAATGGTAATGTAAATGAAAAAAAGGTGTTGACCATCCAATAAACAAATGCGTTTTTCCTGCCCCAGACTCCAGCACAAGTTAGCACTTTCTGTAGTGCACCACAAATATTATTTGTACTGATAATACCCTTCTCTGGGATTTCTCTTGCTTGTGATCTGATTAAGACAGTGAATTCTGTTAGGAAAATTCACTTCCCCTATTACATCAATCGGTCTTTATAGTAAGACAGTGTATTAACTTTGTTTACTTGTATTAGTTCACAGAGTACTCTTACAATGTAACAGGGTGCTGGAATTTTATGGGAGACTTTGGTTTTGTTCACCCTTAAGTAAAACAAATTAAAAGACAGCCCAGTCCTGGAAATAAGGACATTGCTTCTTGGAAACTTAGAGCTGTCCACAAAGGATAAAACATGGCCCTGGACGGCCAAGGTAAGGCCAGCATCCTGGGGCCTCAAAAACACCTTTGAAACCATACCAGCATCATAGATAAAATGCTGTCTCAAGACTGCTAAAGTCTTTTTAAGACTTTAAAGGATCCTCATTAAAGAATGCCTGGATCAACAGACAAGCAGCAGAAATATAGTTGCTTTGCAAAGTTTTATTATGATTAGTAATCATGGTGTGGAAGCCAGTGATTAGTCAAATCATGCTGCACCTGAATGCCTGAAAGGTAGAAGACCCTTGTGTAAAACCACATTTGGGGTGCCCCAGTTTGGCTGGGATACCACAGACACATGAATATTTATGCTTTGCACTTCTAAACATTATGTTTCAGCTTGTCCCCTCTCACAGGGACTGGTTCCATGTCTTCCCAGACAGTAGGTCTTTAAAATAAAATGTCCAGCAGAAACATCAACTGGCAGGTTTACCTGCATGTTCCTGATTACCTGTACTCACTGGGTACATAAATTCAGGAAAAGCCAAAAGGCTCATTCTTTTTCAAAAGATTGTCTAAAGACTTTACATAAACCCCTGATTCTCTACCTCTTTCTACTCCTGTTGTACCAAGCCTCACCTGCAGTGCCAGCCTGAGTTACGCTGGGGCTGCATTCACATTCTGAAGCAAGCACTGGGCTCCCTTCAACGTTTTAACCACTTGTAATTATGTCCTGGCACAGACAGGGTGATGAAATTAGCAACACTGGCACACTTACTCCTAACTCCTACCCCTCAGCTGCGTCTATCAGAGTCAACAGACCCTCTTTGGGCTGGGAGACAAAGGCCCTCTGCCACAGGGAAGGCAATCAGAGTGCAGTTAATTGCTCTTCACCATTCTTTTCTTTATATTAACATTTAGTGGCTCTTGTATACTCTTTAAAACCCAACAGTCCAGAACTAATCCAGTGGGTAAGTACTCTGTCTGACAAGATGGATCTTCCTGGTGAGGGGCCAAATCCATGCTGTGCCATAGGTCCCAGCCTTCCCACTGCTGCTCCACAGGGCACAGACCCACACCTCTGGCAGAGGCCTCCTACAGTGCACAGCTGGCAGAAGAGGTGCAGGGACACAAAAGGCAGCTGTTTTCTCTCCAGTGCTCCCTGTCCTGTCCCTCAGCACAGGGTGGGAAGGCACAGGCCCTGTCAGGACCTGCCTAAGACAGGCCATGCCAGGTCTCAGTGCTCCATGCCCAGCTGGCAGCGAGGGCTGGGCTGGCACTGGCACCCTGTCCAGCCACAGCATCCTGCCACAGGGAAGCACCCTGGCATTCCCACACTGGAATGTGGTCTGCTTCCCCACACCCAGCTGCTGCAAACACCAAAGGCTTCAGCAGACACATCCGCATTTTTGAACTCTCACACTCTGATCAAAGACTTGTGAAACAGAAACTAAAACTGAAGATACAACATCAATACAGAGAGAGCTAGGGATGGAGACTTGGCTTCCAAACACACACATGCATTTGGAGAGCATAACTAGCAAGCCTTAGCAAGGGGAAACTGTTACTTAGCAAAAGCCCACTCATTTCCCAGAGTGTTCCAGGTGTTCCCAGGACAAAGAAGCCAAAGAAACAGGCAGGTGGAACGAAGAAACTTGCACAGCTGAAACCAGGACAAGAAATATGTTCAGCAATTAAATTATAGGCAAAAAGATAGGAACTACTTATGTATGGAAATAAAAATAAGAGATAAGAACTTAGGATCTTAGTTGCTATGAGATCAAAGGCAATCCAGACTGAAAATGTTCAAGAACGCTTCCACTTTTTCTTCTGGTAGCTTTCCAGCATGCATTCCCTTAAATGAGAGGACATGAGCTCATGTAGAACATAAGATTTACAGGAAGCCTGCAGGATGCTGAATAAACTTCAAGAGCAGAAAATTGTTTCAGTACATAAAGGCACCTCCATGGGACCAGCAAGACCTACAGAAGGGCCAATGTGGACAAATGTTCTGATGAGTCCATTCCCAGAGGTACACAGCATATATGCTACTAAGAATAGCAAAAACAACAGCAATAAAAGCATGGGAAAAAGTCTGCACAAAAATCCTGTGTGAAGAAGCAAGAACTCACTTCAGTTTCAGCTGTTGCATATATTCCTCTCAGTGCCTCTGAGCTTGCACGTGTTGTTGAGGTCAAACTAGGAGGAAAAGAAGACAGTGTCAAACCCCTGGGCATAACTACAGCCCCAACAGAGTAACTCTTCAACATCACAAAATATAAAAAACCTCAGCTAAGCATTTTAAAATAATAAATAATATAAATAAATAAAATAATAAATAAATAAACCTCATCAAGCACTAAGTATGTGAAAAGTTTGTCCTGCACTAGGTATAAACCAGCCTGGCAGATGGCTACTGGCCAGCTCAGACTGAATCATGAGCTTAAAAGTAGGTCACTGCTGAAAGGTGATGAATTCACCACCATCTGACAGCAGCAAAATCTAAGTGCTCCAATTTGCAAGCCAGAAGAGATCTCCCCTGCTGTGCACAACCAGTGCTTTTATATTCAGTTCACAGCCATCACTTTGGCTCAGCATTTCTGTAAAGGCTTTGCCAGCAAACTCACAGGTCTCTGGCAGCAGACAGTTTTCAAAAATAAATTACCAGCAACTGTTGTCAGTGTACCAGATCCTAGAAACTACCTTCTTGCATGACTATAGTTATCTGGGGGGGAATCCTTTCTACTTTCTTCTGACAGGAAACATTTCTTGCCCAGTCCTGCCCTTTTAGGATGTGAAACGCAAACTTGCCATTACCCAAAGGAAGGCTTTAGTGTATACACTAAGTCTTGGCAAGCAATGCTTCAAAACACTCCCCGTGAAGGCACCCTTACCTCCCCAGCTCCCGGTACAGTTCAGTGGCAGGCTATATGAATATTGCCTGTGTGCTGAAACACCTCCCTGGGGCACTGAAGTGCCCTTCTAATGTGAACTAAATCCATGATATATGTATGTATATGTTTTATATCAGAACAAAATGGAACACATATACACATTTGATAATCAGAAGAATAAGATTCTTGTTTTCACTTCACAAAAATATGAAGGGGTTTCTGTATGTGAATTTTGAAGTGGACTGATTCAGAAGCAGAACCTGCTCAAGCACTGTAGCAGACAGGCAGTACTGTCCCCTGGCAAGGTGCACAAACAAAATAAATGACACACCACCTTTCAATCACTGGCAACTCCCTGTCCCGGAGCATAACTTAATTTACTGAAGTGAACTGCAATAATGCAAGATGAGCATCATCAAAGGTGAACATCACGGGCACAAGAAGGGGCTTTTTTTAGAGCAGACCAGTGGCAAATCCTGATGGCAATACTGCACTCATCATTTGTTCAAAGGAAGCCCTAAACCCTCCCAAACAGTTTGTTTGTTTTAAAGACCTTCAAGGACAGTCACAGCCTCTGCCAGGAGGCTACAAAAATTTCAGATAGATTTTTCAGGTGAATGTAACTGTATAGAGTTTTAGTGTTTAACGCTGAGATTATTTGCAATTATGGACTGGTGGAATGTTTCCCCTCTGCCTCTAGATCTAAATTGCCCTATTTGATTTTAATGAGATACATTTGCTTCAAAAGTTGTATTACCTTGTTGAACATTTTTACCTAAAAATGTCTAAAATTCTGAAGCTGAGAACAATACAAACCTTCCAGCTCAGCTTTTTTCCACACCTCTGTGACTTTGCATGAGGCCTGCTGTAAGCCTTCACTCTTTGGACCACAACACTGCATTCACAGAAAGATAACTGCAAACTCCCAGACTTACCAAGAATATAAAATGCAGCCAAACAGAATCGTAGTACCCAGGCCAGTAACCAGGTTTTCATCTCTGTGCAGGCCTTGACTGAATTCAGGTACACAGATTGTGATATTCCTGTTGTTTTCATCCAGGACTTCACAAAACAGAACAAACAAAAAGAACAGTTTGCAGACCTCATTGCATTGCATTTTAAAGTAATCTTCAGACTGAAGGCTTTCATTGAATTTTTATTATCTGATAGTAGGTAGTTAAATTCCAGTTGTTTCTGTATATCTTTTAGAAAGATCACAGAGAAAAAATGGGTAAATCTGACCTAGCAGACTCTGTGTTTCAGACAAAACAAAAATTCAACTTAGGGTACTAAAATTTTCTGCTTGACCACAAAAGGCAAACAAGGAATAAAACCCCTGCTTTGTGAACTAAGAAATACAAAGTTGGAAGTCTGCCAACACTTCACCCAAGGCCACAAAACCATGCAAGACCATGACAGCACTGACCTCAGACCAGAAATTTTGTTGAAAGCAAGGGTGCCTCAAGGACAACTATGAAATCCATACACAGTAAAAAAACATGGTTGGTAGTTCTCTGTTCTCAGACTGTCTAACAGAAGACCAAGGAAAAAAAGATTCAGCAGTTACAGGCAAGTTTTTATCTTGGCATGTAAGCAAATCCTACTTCTAGGTCCCTGAAATGAAACCAATTCAGTCCTTGATGTCCCAAGGTGCATCTGGCTTCTTATTATCTCCCTGAAGTCAAGGCAAGGCATAGAGTGGACTGCAGCATCACCCCAAAGCAAGAGCTGGCTGCTGCACCTTAATATCAACTCAACAGCTTTTTGAGTCAATGCTGTTGAAGGCATTTCCCTCCAGCAACCACAAAGCATCCCTATTGAGGCAGAACAACTCTTTGTAAGGGCAGAGTGAAAAATGCAGCAAAGATTACATCCAGGTTAAAAATAAACTCAAAGTCAGTCCCCTGACACAGTGGCAGAGGACTTTGTATGGCCCTGCACAAACAGCTTTATCAGCATGCAGCAGGGACAGCACCAAGGGGAGAGCAAACAAAAGGATGACCAGCCTTGACAGAACACGATGGCCAGAGATGTGCAGATTCCCCCACCTGTGTCCATTACCAACATGTCTGCAGCCAGGCAGGTCGACTGTTTGGCAGATGTTTTAGCTAACTCTGGTACCAAAAAGTTAAGGCAGGCTGAAATTAGCATAGATCCAAGAAACATCACTTTTTGTTTGCCCATTCCTTCTAGACATATGCAACTCTTTTAGGGTATTTCAAATACTTGTATCTTGCACTTTTTTCAGGCCTTATATGCAAGACGTCCGATCTGGAAATCCCTCCTTGACAAATGAGTCAACGTTAAGTAAGTCCATGGCAAACCTGAGTTACAGGGCCTGGGACACCACAGTAAGTGCCAGCACCTCACACATTCTCTAGCACATGCCACTGTGAGAGCTGACAAGCAAATGTGGAGCCCTTAGCACACAGAGAGGTGAGGAAGGAGCTCCTCTGACTGCAGATGACAACTGTGAAAATTCTCAGGCATGGGAAGACAAGGAGGTCTAAGAGTGTGCTTGATGCATACTCTAACAAATGCAATAACACACCTGCAATATATACAGGAAGAATTAGGACATTCACTTAATGGCTGAAAACTGTGACAAGCATGAAGCAACACCAGGCAAATGATTTAATTCCACATATCACTTTCTTCCCCTTCTTTTTCTTTTTACACTGTGGCAAGACTTTTGAGTAACTCAGATGCCTTCTAAATTCAACTCTATATTAATTCAAAACACAGCTGAACTTCCAAAAGTAAATTTTGCACCTAAATACTGTCTGGTTTACTTCCTAATTCTTGCGTGTATGTCTGTACCTACACAATTATGACGGACTTTTTCCCCCATCTCTCCCCTTTCTTCTTGAGAGGTGTCAGTATAAACTTTTCCTTCCTGTCATTGAACTTATTTTCCTCTAGTTATTGTTGTTTCAGCTATTGAACACTAGAAGCTGGGCAATAACAAAGAAAGGGTGTTTTAGTACTAATTCAAACCAGAAAAATCTTCTCTAAGTGAAAAGAATGCTTCCAATGCAAACACACTAATCTGACATTTATTTGGGTAAAGGAAAGTTTGAATTGTACAGTAAAGTCTTGCTCTGGTTTTGTGGTGTAAAGAACTTAAAACTCTAGCGAGTTCCATACTCCTGAATTGCAATACCAATGGCTGAAAGGTAAGTGGAGTTCAAGTAAGTGGAGTTCAAGCACTCTGCTGAAGAACAGCATCATCTCAGCTACAACATAACTCTGAGACGTAACTCCAAGTCACTTCTTGGAATATTTCTTCTCTAAACAAAATACAAGTGGTACTCAAGTTTTTGCATCTTTAGGAGTCTAGGCCTACCTAGAATACTAATTCTAGGAGAGAAAAGTATCATATTAGTATCCACCTTGATGGCCAGCACCTACCAACTGGACCTTGTAAACTTTTGGATGGAGCTGATCACCCAAGCTTCTTCCAGAGGAATCCAAGAGCCATTTTTTCCAATCCTTTCCTATCATGTGACGTAACACATTATGTTTTGTCAAATTTTATGACATTTATATGTCCTATTTTATAAGAATGGGTACTTCCCATTCATATGGTCATAGAAGGAAGAGACTACAAGACCTTGGGAAATTTGTTCTTAGGAAATAGGAAATGGTGCAACAGATACAAATCACCCAAGGTAAGTTAAGTGCCCCTAGACCAAAGCACTTAACACACATGGAGAGGGCCAATTGCAGAGTCTCTTGGCTGCACAGATTTCTTTGTACCATTTGCAATTTTTTGTGTGAAGACCAAACCCAGTGCTTCTTTATCCTGTTAATCCAGGTTTGCTAAATTCTTATTTTTAATACACAGCATGTTTAAAAGAATTTACATAAAGCATTAGATAACTTACTCGTTTCTGGTGGTTTGCTGGATAGTGCTGAGAAAGTGAGGTACATGACATAGCAGCTAATAACTCCTGACTGCAGCAAGCCAGAATGGGGCTGGCCTTTACAAGAAAGAAGAAAATTAGTTATTTTTGTAGACACTTTAGCAAACTGAAAAAGAAATTTATGTCCTTTAAAGAACAGCACACCAGTATCTTTTATTTTTTTATTTAAGGCAGTTAATAAGTGTTTGAGGTGTTTAGATACAGTTCCACTGTCCAATAAAGAGAAAAAAAATCTATCCTTTAGCTCTGTGGGCTGTTTTAGAAGAGCATTAGAGATTCCCATGTAAGTAAATAATCACCCCTGTGCTTTTGCCAAACGCAGCAGCTTTTCAAAAGCTATTGACAAGCTGCCACAATGATTTTATTGTGTGTATTGTAAAATCTCTGTTGGAGTCACTCTACTATTTTCAAGCCAAATGTGTGCAAGTATATGAACAGCACACAAAGTATAAAATACTACTAGCAACTTCACCAGGCCCAAACTTTACAAATGATAAATCCCAAAAAGTCAAAAATAAATGCTAAAACAGTAGTGAATTTGAGGGCTGCCACCGCCAGACTTAGGTAAATTTCACAACAGAGTGCCAGCCACCAGCAAGCAGGCCTTCTCCACACTATGTGCCTAATGGCACACCCAAAATATCCCACACCTCTGTAGTTTCAGCCGTCAAGCTGACAATGAACAACAGTACTTCACAATGTAGATGAAGAGTCAAAAGCAGCACCATTTCTGAACTATCATTAGACTTTCCACCCAGACTTGGCTTATGCCTCCAGGCACACCACTGTGGCAGCACCAAAAATCCCGGGGGAGAAAAGGTCAGTGGACTCACGATTCTGGACACAGGGTGATATGGCCACCAGGGACACAAAGAGGCACAGGCCACCATTCACTCCGATCAGGACCTTGTTGTACATGCAGCCCTCTGAGCGCGTGTAGAAAAGAGCCATGAGGACCAGTGCTGCCACCGCAATGGAGTACAGGATGAGAGTCACCAAGGCAAGCAAACCATTCCACATCTGCTTGTGGTTTGCACCTGCAGTCCTGGGGGGAGAGAGACAAGCATCTTATCTTTGTCTTCCCATGCCCAGAACATATGATTATAACAGCTGAAGAGCTCATATCCTTAAACACAAAAGACAGTGTTTACTTTCCCAAAGCATGTGTGCGTCACTACACCAGCACAGACTGTTGCAAGGTTCCTACCCATGAAACAGAGGGAAACATACCTTGGCATCAGTGTTTATCTTCTGTACTATCACAGTCAGCTCCTTCTGTAATTATAGCTCAGTGTTGACTCCCAAAACTCACAGGAGTTCTCTGGGATCAACCCATCAGCGTATCTCAACTCAATACTTCAGGGGTGTCCTGGGGTGACTTCATTATACTGGTATCCCCATTCGCCTTGTTTATGTTACATATTAAGTTCTGCACCTTTAAGACTGGCTCTGAGAGTGAAGGGGGGAAGAAGAAGCCACAGTTTGTGTTGAGGACAAACATCACTCCCCCACATCCTGCTCCTGGACTGTGGTGTCTGCAGCATGGACAGACAGCAGGACAGAGCTTCTCTTTTACAGTTAGTTAGTTTTAGCTAGCTGAGGCAGAGGAGTTCCCTGGACTTTTTTTTCCTTTTTTCCTTGGATTGAAATCCTCTGGACTGAAAACCCAGCCAAACCCCGGGAGCTCACACCTGTGGCCCACCGGGGCCTGGGCCTCGGCACTTTCCAGTGCCAGAGGGACTGATAAACACGTGAGCGGGCCGAGCTACACCACATGAAAAGGACTTTTCTTCCTTTATTTGCCCTCTCATCGAACAATGAGAGCTTTTATTGTTTAATATTATTCAATTTCTGTTAAATAAACAGTTTTTTTCCACTTCTCCCCAAGGAAATGTTTTTTCCCCAAACCAGTTGAGGGGAGGGGCCGTTTGAATTTTTCTGTTCTAGGGGAACCCTATTTGGAGATTCTCTCCCAAATTTGCCCTAAACTAGGACAAGGGGTTTCCTCAGCAGCAACTCCAAGTGTCCCAGGATGGGCTAGTGGTGCTCTCCACACAATGAAACCAGAGGTTTATTGCTTGGCATGGCCTCTCTTCTACTCCTTGTACTACCTTGATATTTTTACTACTCTTCACTCAAAAAGCCTCCTTTCCATCTGGGTTTAAATACCTGTCTCCCTCAGCTAGAGTGGTCCATCTTGTTTTCCTTCCTTCACCTTCCAAACATCTCTTACAAAGCCCACCAGGGTTTAAAAGGAGCAACTAAAGCAGTTGTTTTGAAACAACGGTCTGTTTTGTAGGTGTAAAATCTTTTCAGTGGGTTTCTTTTTTCTGTTGTTTTGTGAAAATGGGACTTACTTTAACACAGTATCTAATGTAAAGAGAGCTAAAGTTAAATGCTGGTGCTGGAAGTCTTTCATCCAGAAAAAACCAGTTACATTAATTAGCACTAAAAATATCTGTGGTATAAGGAGTTCTCACCTCTTCCTCCTTGAAACAGGAATTTAACAAGGCCGAAGGTTTGCTAAAACTCTTTCTTAGCAGGTGGTATTTTAATTAGAACAAGAGAGAACTGCAAGAGTTTGTAAAGGAGGATATGTGAGGCAGCAAGGGTGGAGGTGGGGGCAGGAGAATACATGTGGGAGGACAACTTAAATATTTTAATTTGATGAGAGGCAAGGGACTAGGACAGTAACAGAAAATATTTGAATACTTGAACAAAAAATGAAGTCAATGCCCAAATAGTGTATATCCAGGTTGATAATGGAATCTTGCATATTTAGATGACAAGAAAGAAGTTGAACACAAGTTAGCAGTCCTTAATTTGAGAAAAATAATTGATATGCATTAAGCTGACATAGAAAAAGTAGGATTTATCAGTTCACAACACTGCACACAGCTTAACTATTACATTTTGCAAGTCCAGTTTTATTCTCTTGCACCACTCTACTTAGCAGATGCATTTTCATATAAAATATAAAATAACTTAAAGTAAGAAATTTTTGCATCCCAAGACACTACTACTTAATGTAAGCCAAGTTCAGGTTAAGAATAAATCAGCAGAGTAGGAGTGAGCAATGAGGAAACATTTCTGCTGGGGAAGGAGAAAGCAGATGAAGCAAATATCAAAAGCTCTGAATACTGACATTCAAGTGTCTTCTTCCAAAAATTACATCTGAGATACTTTTATATTCTTTGTTATGAGGAAAGTATTGGTCATGAGTCCATCAGAATTTTAAGCAAATAACTACTTGCCCAACACATACCAATTTTTATTCCACTTGTGGGTGAACTCAACCAGCAGGATGAGCTGAATGGCAATGAAAAGGAACCCTCCTGTTGCTCCTACATAGCGCCAGGCTGCAAGGCAGAGAGGCAGAAAATAGGTCAAACGCCTTTCCCTGGAGATAAAATGGATTTATTGTCTATTCAGTGAAGCTGTTAATGTGGTTTGAATAACTCAAGCTCACAAATGTAGCAGGAGATGAGAGATTTCAGATGAAAGGCCAACTCAGTCAACTCAGTTAAGATTAGCACCCTGATGAATTCAGCCTGCAACCTGCTACACTTTCAATACAATCTTGTTAGGACTGCTACTGAGTTTCTCTAACCTAGAAAATTTTTGTGGAGACTATGAGTTACTATATTCAGACAGAAAATACTGAAACCTCTATTTGTGACTGGCAGGAGGGAGGTGGTGTAAAGGCATTCCACAGGAATCTAAACCCTGAAACTGCAAGGTACTGGAACCCAATCATTACTAAAAAGGGCAATTTCTTCTCCAGATTCCAGCACCACATTAAAACAAAGGTGGGGTTTATCAATTTACAAATGCTGTTCTGAGCCACTCCCAAGGAACACTTAGTATTCACTGACTGGTTTTAAGACAGGTTATTTGACTGTTGACCTACATAAATGGAATTCTGGTAGCTGCTTGGATGTTTTGGACAACAGATTTCTTACATGCAACATCAGAAGGATGCGAGGAAATACAGATGCCTATTTTAATTTTTAGCTGTACATACAGCTTTTGTGCTGCTCTGCAGTACACAGCCTACAAATGACTCCAGGTGGGCAGCTTATTTCAGTGAAGAAAAGACCAAAGAAGTGCATCAGCAAAATTCAGCCATATCCTTCCATTGTGCCTTCCTTTTGAAAAAAAACATTTGTAAATTAATCGGAAGAACATCACAGTCAGGGCTCACCTCCATTAGCAGTTGATGTAGAGATTATTTTATCTTTTTTCTTCCCCTATCATAAGTTCACTATTTAAAAGGGTGCAAAATTATCATTATCTGGTTTGCTAAATGTATTGCATACACCTCTGCTCTTCAAAAATACAAAACAAAAAAACGGATGAAGTTTTTCCACAGGAAAGTACATAAAAATAGGCAGGGTACAAAGTGGCATGTGCACTTGGGACAGGGAGAGTTGGAAGTCAGACCACCAACGGAATGAATAATTAAACAGACAGACTCCCATGGTCTCCCTCTGCCACGGTATACTGCAGGACATTTATGGATCAATCACAGATAAGGTCAGCATAGCAAGTGTGGGTTTTACGCTACAACCCACAGACACCGACTGTTTGCACATTATCTTCCTCCTCCATGATTAACAAACTGCTTGGGAAACATGGCAAGAAATTTTCTTTTTCAAGAAAAAAAAAAGGAAAAAAAAAGAAAAAGGAAAAAATAAAAGGAAAAAAAAAAACAACAGTTGGGAGAAAAAACCCCAAAACCAACCAACCAACCACCTGACAGCGTAAGTTTCTTGAAAGGAGGGGAGAACACCCCACAAACACACTATACCCAAACCATCTGCAAATCTCAAATTCATGGGTAGACTAGAGGTCAGTTTAACAAAAGTTGCAGAATACAGCTTTGGAGTGAAAAGTCATGAGCTAGTTTGGGGAAGAAAGCTTGTTATGCTCATCTCCAGACTACATTAGACTGCTGCTGAGAATCAGAACAAAAAATTCTGTTCCTTCTTTTCTGCAAACACATGAGTTCCTAAAGATGTTTCACCAGGAAAAGGGTCACTTGCAAAGATGACAGGCCTGGTCACGAGTGTAAGGCATTGTACTGCTACATCTAACCCAAACTAAATGGGTTCCAAGGACAAACACATACAGCAATCCCACAGACTCACAGAGATGGAAGATGGGCCTCAAACTGAGCAGGACCAAACAGACAGTAAGAGCAAGAAGCTGAATTATACCTGTCAGTGGTTAACTTGTGGTTTTTACTTTAGTTTCCCAGAGTACTGTGCTCATAGTCTGTCCATTCTATTCTCTCCCCCATGCTACCCCTTCCTCCTGCCCTTTTAAACATCCTGGCTAAAGCAGAAGAGTGTTGAGAACAAGGTAACCAAGCAAGTCCTGGTGGAAGCAGGCAGCATACACAACTGCTCCTTTGCTCTACTGATCCCATTCCTCTTCACCTGTCCAGACCCAACAGCTTATGGGCTTACATCCTGTAAGATGAACTTATTGCAATGGTAAGAGAACAAACTTGGTATCACCAGGATTTTTGCTCCTAGCCCGCAAGACTCTTGTGATACACTTCCCTCCCATCTGGCACTTCAGTACTGGGCTAGTAGCAGCATGCCTGTGCTTTGCCAGCATTCCTTCCAAAACTAGAAATGCTTCTGACATGGCATCCTCAGCAGAGCACATGTACCAGGGCCCAAGAACTCTAATTTTACCTTACTGCATGTATGTCCCCAACCTGAAAATTAACAACATCACCAATTCTTTTGGGGCACTGCAAGTTTCCAGGCAGCAAACACCAGTGCCCAGCAGGTTACTGTGCCTCCTGGAGCACTGGCCCCTCTCCACTGTGCTGCACTATGCTATGGCTACCTGCACAAGTCAAACTAATACTCAGCTCTGTGATCTTCAGTGAACAATTCCTTCTGCACCATTATAATTCCATATTTCTTAAAGAATTGGCAAGAATTCTTAAAGAATTGCTGCAGTGGTATTGTTACCTACCACTTTGGCCTGCTCTTGGTCAGAAAAAAAACATGCTGTTTCCTGCACATTCACATGAAAACCATGTAGTTTGCACACACAGCATTCCCTCCAAGCAGCTCCAGATACTATTTTTGCATCTGGTCTGTAAAGGCTTTACTTGAAGAAACAAGGCAATATCCATGTTGATCAGACCTCCTGCATTTCTAACCACTCATGAGATAGTAGAGAATGAAGCAGCATAACAAAACAAGAGGACATACCATTGAGGAAAGTGTCCTGATCAGGAATGAAGAAGGCTCCGGAGCACATTGCTGCCAGAACTATAAGTTTAATAAGCCAGAATCTGTATGAGAGGAAAAAAACAAAACAAAACAAAACAAATTTGGTTGTAAAGGGAATTTGAGATTTTCAGCTTTAGTACCACAAGAAATCTCTATTTAAAGCATAGCAAGAAAAAAAACCACATCCTTTGATGACTGATTACCACTTTACTTAGTTTTCACTTGGCCACATTATTACTGACAGTAAGAGCGAAGTAAAGTTTCTTGGTTTTTTGGGGTTTTTTTCTGCCTAGTACTACACCCACACGGAAAGTTCATGTCACACACTTGTAAAGAGATGTGAAAATTAGGCAATCAAACAAAAAACTCACCCATTATGAATGTATGCTCGGCAGCTTTTGCTGTTGTTAATTTTGATGGTAAACAAGAAGAATAAAAAGAAGAAACAGGCCATCCCAAAACAGACTTTGTACACTGCAGAGTACCCCACCAACTTCTCACACATCTCACCCGCCTGAATACCCTTGCACATCTGCTTGTAGAAGGGAATCTGAAAAGCAGAACACATTATATATAAGCTGTTAGAAAGGACACGAAGCACACATAACCAAGCATGTCTAAGTCTGGGCACCACTGACTTTTCACTGGCTTCATTTAATACCTTTGACTTTTGACACCCCTTCACCTGGATTTCAGGGTTCAGCAGATATAAAAAATCAAAAAAAAGAAAAGGGACTGAAGTCTTCCAGAACCTTCATTCAACTATCTACAGATCCCTAGGGGTACAAATCCAGCTTATTTCGGCTCTCCTAGTTCATGCCATTCCTGCTTTACTGCTTATTCCCTCATCCTGGGGAATCTTTTCCTTTCTTTCCTTCCCATGCTGTACAGCAAAAGACTCTGATTGCTTCAGTAATTCAGCTTACATGAGACATACCAGGGGCTTATGCTGCCCTGGCTGGAAATGCAGACACCCAAGTGTCACAGGGGCAGCAGCCACCCTCCTCCCCATCACAACTTCTGAAAGGCAGTTGTGCCAGTTGACTTGATTTTATTCTAAATAAACAGAAAGGTGGAATAACCCTGCCTTTCTTGACTCATTAAATATTTGCCTTTGAGGCCTTTCCCCACAAAGGGGAAAAGAAACAGCTCCACATTTTGGCTTCAGATTCACCACATGAACATGATACTGGGTGTTCAAAAAAACAGGTCTATGTGGCCAGGACCTGCTGCTGTGAGGCGCCTCTGTGTAGACATCCACCCCTCACAGCCAGAGAACCATTTAGCTGCACAGAAACGCAGGAATTTAATTAGAAAACCACTGTCCATTTCAAAGGAAAAAAGGGCCTCTCTGTATGCTTACAGCCTTCAGCTGAGGCTGGCAAGACCAGTTCAGCAACATTATTAAACCCTCTGGAGCTGACTGCTGCTATCCATACAGGTGCTTGGAGGATAGAGAAGCCAACATGTAGCAGGACACAACACACACAAATCAACAGCTATGGCAAAGGACACCCCTTCATTCAGCAAGCAGGACAGTACACAAAGCTGTAACAATGAAAGAATGAGAGGGCCTGGATGCTAGTCATCAGCCAGCCATGTAGAAAGCCCTCTGAGATGCAGGAAGCAAGTGATGAACAAGTAAACTGCCAGCTTCCAGCCACCAGGCTCTGAAAGCCTACCTCTCTCAGCAGGATATGCAACTTATATCAATGTTCCAGGAACCCAAACCAGCCAGGAGCTCAACAACTCTCCTAGCAGTTCCTCAAAAAGAGGAGCCCACAGCAACAGTGTTGCTGAGCTGAGGGTAGCAAACCTAACTATAACATGGAGCTGATGCTCGGTGGGCTAGAACCAGCCGAGGAGATGAAAACATCTCAGCACAGCTGTGTGGTGTTATGAGAACGGATTCCAGCTGGGCCACTCCAAGTTGCTCTTTCAGCAGTAACTCGGAGATTAGTAGCCACTGCATAAAGAAGCTGGACATTAAACAAGTAGCTGCAGCTAACTTGCATCCAAGAGTTTTTGGAAAGCTCCTTAGAAATTGTCTGGAGCATTAGCAGCACTTTTCCCAGGTCTTGGAAAGCAATGAAATGGGCAAACATGCCAGCATTCAAAATGAGCAAATGGATTGACTGGAATAATTATGAGAACTATCAAGGCCACAATGATGCCACAGCAAGCCAAGGGGACACAACAATGCCAGTGAAAGCAACTGGGCTATCAATTAATGCTTTTGTGTTCTTTGCTTATAATAACCATCAATCAGGAGAGGTTAAAAAATGGAACTAAAAATATTGAATTAAAAATATTTCTGGAAAAAAATATTTGTTTGACATAGATGATAGCACTCACCAAGGAGACAGACCTTTAAAAGATCTGTTCACTTTACTTGCAAGACATTCAGAACAAAACACAACAAAACAAAAATATCACAGAACTTGATTAACTGACTAGCTAATTAGAAACAGATCTCTGGGTAACCATAAATAGGCGCCTTCTTTAATTGCACAGGTTTCTACAGAGATCTTGATGGGATTTTTGAACCCATACATTCTTTCCACCTGTAAATATTAACTTCATTACAGGTCTGGCTGAGAGAAAATAGATGGATTAACACGAGCAACAGCTCAGTTTGCTCTACATAAGCAACGAAGAGTTTAGCCACCAGTGTAGTATTCACCACACTATGCAGTACAAAGTGATGGCCACAGAAACAGTCCCATGGGACTGAATGCTCTTTTAGGAGACCCATGGTCCTGAAGGAACAAAACAAAAAAGGAAAAAAATAATAAAATCAAACTCTTTGAGAGTTTAACATATAAAATACACAAGCACAATGCTGGGGACAATAGGACTGGTATAATAAAAAGGGCTAGTTTTTGTGAAAGTATGGTCTATTGCTGGGAACAATTTATCAAGGCTTATGTGACTTCACTGACAGACAAAAAAGACTGATGTTTGTTTTCAATCTGTATCTCTCAAACATGTTCAGCTGCTGAGAATGCTGCCCACCCTATGTGCTTTACCATGTGAGCCATTTGCTGGGTATATCTGACAGCTGTTAAGCCACATATTAGTTATTTGCCAAGATACAGTGAAACAGCCACTTTCGTACCTTTAAAAGCAGCAGAAGCTAAATTATTTGCCCTCTGAGTAGAAGACAAAGCATTCTTGTTGCAGAAACTGAGTATCCGCTCCAATAATACAAACGCCCCAGCTGCTGTGCAAGCAATGATGTTATCACAGCAAAGCTGGCAATTTTCCAGCACACACTGAAGCTCTCAGAGATGGTCAACATCTGAGCAGCGTCTACAGAACGGGGACGCCCCGACCTTGCTCGCCTCTCACTGCAAGCACACAGAACCATCTCGGTGCAAGAAGCCTGGCCACCGCCGGGTGGGGTCTGCCAACACCCAAATGTGTGAGCACAGGAGCACGGCACAGCACACAGCACAGGGAGCAGGAAGAAAGAAGTGTGTAGAAACAGCCCTGGGGGATCCTGCTTTCACCTGGATGTCCTCATCCAAGAAGGGAGAATACAGCAGGCAAACTTTGTTATGGAAGCAGAGGCAGCATGAAAGAAAATCCATGTAGAGGGGAAAGCAAGGGCAAAAAACCCCATGTAAAATTACCTGTCTTGGACAGCTGAGAAATTTAATAGAAAACCAAGGAACAATCAGACCAGAACACATCACCATGAATCTATGGCTAAATTTTTATCAAAATACGCAGTGGGCATCTGCACTAAGAACCCTTATTTTTGGTTGCATATTTGGGGTTTAACATGCAACAATGCAGTTATGGGCCAAGATAAAAATCTAGCTGGGGAAGTAAGCCTGAAAGTATGTTTTGCTAGAACATATGACCACTTTGTACTGAAATGCTTTCACACAACTGAACTGAGTTTTATTGGTGTTTGTTTTCCTGAAAATATCTTTCTTATTTTTCTTTTCATTAATTAAGTAGGACGTGAAAATTTTCAGACTGAAACCACTGAAACTTTTGAAAGAGCTTTAACATAAAAATTTAACATAAAAAATTTAACTTAAAAAAAAGTAAACAATGTTTTGAGAGACCAAAACAATTATTTCCTTTTTCTTCTCTCAATTATCCTTTCAAAGCCTGTGAAATGCAAGTTTTTGCTTCAACAGAACACACATGAGTAAAGATGTATCTGTTTTTAAAAAAAAAAAACAGTGTAACAGGAAAAAATAAATAATATATGGATCAAGGTATAGAAGCACAATATGGAGTGTAACTCTACATTGGCCTTTTCTGTATTTCTGTCCCCATCACTGGGTTCACATGTCTTGATTGATAAATACTCAATCTTTTGCCTTGTTATGGAACATTGCTCTTTCAAAATCTATTTTACATTTTATTACCCAAAATTTTCCTGCAAATAACCATCAACTTCTTCCCTGTTCCTCCACTGCCTCTTGCTTCTTTCCCCGGAGATTTACTACCGCAGACTTGGGAACTTACAGCAAAACAACCAAAGAGAAAAAAACACATCTCACTGACATAAGAGAGATTCCTTCCATGTAAGATCAGCATGAGTATTTGAACTCTACACTGGTAAAGGAGACACATGGTTCCTTGCCAAGACTACAGCTCTAGAAAGGACTGCACTACAATTTGAAATTCTTTACCTAAATGCAAAAATTTTAAAAAAGAAACATCTGATTAAAATTAATCAAAATCTGTCTTCTCTCAAAAAAAAGAGAGTGTGAGGTCCCAAAAATAACATGCAAAGTATTTGCTTACAGTTTGGCTTCAGGAGCTGGGAGTGTTCTATGGCCCAGCCAAAAGCAAAGGAATCAGTAAGTGCACAGCACTTTCAAAACACAGCTCATCACTGAGAAGCTGAGTCTGCTTAGTCTGAATAAGTATTTTCAAGGTGCAGTCTATTAAAATTGCGCTGAATCAGCTTCAGGGGTCTTTGAACTTTTAACAGCCCTGAACATAATTATTAAATTAGAAAGCAGATAAAGAAAGTCTACTTTCAGATGGTCCATTTCCCATTCAAAGACATCAAATGCTCTAAACTAAGAGAGTGATTATCTTTCCACTTCAAACTAACAGCTACTCTTTGTGCCATTTCTTCCCACACTGAGCTTTCAAGACTATGAGCTGGAAAAGAAATTTGGCAATAGTGAAAAGCATGTTATTGAAGGCTTCTTGAATCACTTTCCTGTTGGATAAAGAGTATTTTTTGTTACGGATACAAGCTGCTTTAAAACCACACTACTGATGGAAAAGAACTTTATGAAATTTGGATATGAACACATAATTTGTCTCCCACACACTAAAGTTCCTTGGGTTATTCACTTTATTGCCAAGCTAAGCATCTAGTAAGTCAAAGTAATTCCTGGCAAGCAATTTCAGCACGCACATGCTGAACAGTTTTTAAGTCACAGCTCACAGGCAAGCATCATGTCTGTACTGGGTGCTCCTACAGGGTGGTCATCAACTTCTGTTGGCCTAGGACAACTCACGCAAAGTGCTATTAAATGAAAGAAAATTAGGATAGAACATACAAAGAAGGTACAACGGGAAGGAAGAAAGAAAGATCACAGGCAGCAGAGCACAGATGCCCTCAAATTAGCCTGCTATAAACCTGCTGGTTTATCTGCGTTGTAGGAAGGGGGTGCTGCCACCAGCTTCTGCATCTGGGATGCTCTAGAGGGAAGTGTTTCAGAGATGACCAAAAGCCAAGCACAGAACGTAACCAGGGCAGTTGTTCAGCAACTGGTTCAACGAGGCAAGAGGCCTCACTGTGCAACCCCACTCTCTGGGAGAGGAGCACAAAACAACAGGATGCTCACACTGATGGAAGCTTTCTGAACTTCCAAGACAAGCACATACACAACCCCGAAGCAGGCCAAATGATGCATTCAGTGCAGAACCTTCATTTTTAAGAATTCAGCAATGCAGCCCTTGTTCTCTTCAGTTAAAAGCAGAGTTTTATTATTGTAGCTTGTAGTGGGTGAGAGAGTGGATTTGTGCTACTTGGGTGGCTTATGAAGCCAAACCAAGTATGTGGTACAACAGGACCAGTGTGTGAGCACAAGCAGGCTGGTGAGCATTTAGCTTAGGAAATTTATATTAAAACTCTGAAGGAAACTTCAGTTTTAAATATAGCTCTAGCCACAGCTCCTTTCATGCTTTTGAAGCTCTCTAATTAAAAAGACAATTAGAGATGAACAGTATTTGCTGTGGTTAAAGGCCATGTGAACACAATGACTCAACATACACTGAAGAAAACCCCTTGTAAAGGCTCTGCAGCATTGTGCTTTGCATCAGGAAGGCAGAATTAAAATTGCAACACTTGAAGAGTTATTTTCTAATTTGCTGCTTCTGCTGCTAAACAAGCTTTCAGAGACAAATTCAAGGTTAGACTGAATTGATTGGTTCTACTAGAACAAGTTCCCTAACACTTCTCCCTCTTGTGATACCGCCTGCACAGCAAGCCTGGGGTGGGTTCACTGCAGCAGATTTCTGCACCAGAGAGGAAGGACGCTAGGCCTTGGCTCTTCCTGTTGTGAAACATACTCAGTGGGTGACAGGAAGACGCTGAGCATGGAAAAATCAAGAGACTGAGCATGGAAAATCATCCCATCCGGGTTTAGAAGTGGATGGGTGGAGGAAATCGACCACCTCCTCTGATGGAGCACCCCTGTACACAGAGCTGTGGAAGGAGCCCCATCTTCTTCCAGGGGCAGCAGTGACCCCATTTCTGCTACTTACGTGAGTTTTCATTTCGTTAGCTACTGTTGTAGACATCATGACACAGCAGATGATGGTCACCAGGATGAAGTAAAGCGCGTACATGAAGCGGGTGCTGGTTGACTGTTTTATCTTGGGGCAGCATTTGCAGCACAAGGAACAAGCAGCAGTACCACAGCAGCAGGCCAACTGAAAAGTAAGACAAAAAAACCTGAGTCAAAATTCCCACCGAAACCCTCCATCTTAAGGTTTCTATTGCAAAAGTTAGACAGGGAAGCTGGGAGGCTTCCTGCAAGACTGACTCCAGAATTTCCCAAGTCCTCTCCTCCCAGCTGAGCAGCATGTAAGTGGAAGCAGACTGTCTTTTATACCAAAACTCACTAGTTTTAAGCACATCAGTGTCTAGCTTCCCCAGATTTGCTAAGGATGAGAGACAGATTTCCCTGTGTATTTTTAGTTTTCTACCAACAATTGGATAAAATCCATGGAACATAGCAAAACCCATGTAATTATACGAATTGAATAATGAATATTATGTAATATTCAACAAGGAAAAAGGTGCTGAATAATCCCAAAAGGGATCTAGATTGAGGTTCATCATTTTCTTGATGTCAACATTATTACTGGTTTTCTAAGAACCTGGATTCACCTTCCCTGCCTTCTAATTTTAAGAAAGTAATCTATAAAATACAAAGGTAAGCCTTACTTATATACATAAGGCAGCACTGTCCATGGCCAGGCCTTTACTTGCAAGAGGCAGCAGGGCTCTTGTCTGTGCTTAACCCACCAGCCATGACCACAGGAGGGATTTTTGGACATCAGCAGGCAGCCTGGAGCAGAGAGCCACTCTCCCAGGTCTCATTGCTGCCAATCCAGAGTAACCTCAGCCCCCTACACTCCCATTTTCCAGGGGCTCTCTGAGGCTCAGGTATGGTGTGCTGTCAGACCCTGGCACTCAGCACACCAAGGCTGCTTCTTACAGGTTGTTTCCTCAGCGTTTGGAGGGGCCACAGGAACATTCAGAGAACCTTCTGCTTTCAGCAAGCCATCGTACAAGGTGGATGCTTGCCAAAAGATTGAAAATCCACAAGTGCCAGATGTGAGTCATCCAGGGAAACTTCATAGGTTTTATGTGTCTTCAGGCACCCAAGCATCATGCACTGTTTTCCTCCCAGGACACTTTCTCTTCCAGCATCAGTGTCTGACCAAGGGGAAGGGGTTTCTTCTGTGTTTGCAGACACAGATATCTAACTCCACAGAATCTCACAACCAGACTGGTTGTTCAAAGAGCCTCAAATAATTTTGAAGAAATCTCTTTTATCACTTTATCACTTCCTTGCTATGACTACCTCTGCAACATTCAAGGTCATACTTCTGGCCTTCATCCCCCAGGAAGGGGCTGGCAGACAGGCCCTTCCCTTTCTCAACAGGAGCTCTTCAGTCGCAGAAGACATAAAATGGGGACAGTCCAACCCAGCCCCCATGCAGCTCTTCTCTCACTTTACCACTGGATCTCATGCCAGAGGAGACCGGGCCTCAAAGCATGCAGCTGCTAAAACAGCTGCTACTGCAGAACAGAAATCCTCCCCAAAACACAGAGCTCCAGATATGGGGAATAACCAGAATGGGCTCATGTTGGCACCTCTGCTGGAAATTAAAAATACTATATTCAAAAGCACATCATGCAAGTATACTTTCAAAATAGAAGGCTCTAGTGGCTGAATGGCAATTCTATGTTTTATAGCTAGTGAAATTACGTTACTTTTTAGAGCATCAACAAAAGTCCAGGAAATAAGGAAGCTACAGCAAGGTAATTCAACAAATAGGATAACATTTCAAAACAAATTCATACCAGAAATGTGTCATTCACCCACTTCAGAACTGTAACAACAACCAAAAAAAATTAAGACTAAAGGTCCTTTCAACATGAAAGGATTTGGTATCAGCCCAATCCAAAGTATCCACAATGAAGAAATGAACTGTTCGCCTTAGCATAACGTTAATAGCTACAGTACAGAAGTAAAAAGGTATGCAGCTTTGGCATTTGTAAGGAGAAAAACATTTTCCTACACCAGGTGCTAGAGAACTCTGCCAGTAAAATCTCATCTACATCCAGCAACGCCTGCTATTCTACTCCTGGGTCCTTGGAGCTTCTACTTAAAGGAACAAATGCTTAAACAGAATGTGTAAGTCATTTATGTACTTTTCCACATTACTTAGACTTTAATGATAGTTTCTAATAGTAAGTAGGAAATATTTGTGAAAAATACCAGTATTTCCATTTTTTTCCAGATTCACCTCTTCAAGCACTCTGAATAGCCATGGAAACCATAGAAAGTTGGTTAGACTATTCAGCCACAGCCCCAAATTTGGTGGTTTGGGGTTTTTTTTCACGGTTGTTTTTTTACTTTCTTTCTTTTTTTAACTGTACCTCTAATGTTCCAGAGTAGGCCACAATGAATTAGGTGTTATCCAAAAATAAATGAGAACAGTCTCTGTCCCAAAGACTAAGATGCTGGCCACAGCCTACTGACCCAGGAGATTTCAAAGATAACATCTGTGGGTGACAAGACTTCAAAGCCCACATATACAAGGAGCTCTCTGTTAAGTTTCGGTCAATGTGCAGCTAAGTTACACAGATGCTACCCTGATGCCACATCCTTTACTGCAGGCATGGCCCATCTCATTTCTCCTCCTCCTTCTGACTCCTGCACAGGGGCTCAAAACCCACTGCAAACCAGCAACAGATTTTTGTCATGTCATGAAAAGAAGACTGAGAAGAAAAGAAAAGTAATGTCAAAAATATTTTACAGATTTAGCTTATCATTAAAAGTTCCTCCAAATGAGGGGAGAGGATGCTGTGCAGTTTTTAGGACAGAGACAACCCAAACAACAATGAAGGTCTGTGACCACTGCCAGCAGGCAGGCCCTGTACGCACAGAGTTCCTTCAGAGTCTCTAGCCACCCCAAGCCTGGGTTCTCCAAGAGCCAGAATAATGGTACCTGAAAGCCAGGCTGCTCTACCAGGAGCTTGTCATCCTGCAGCAGTCCTCCTCAATCCAAAGGCTCCCAAGTCAGGCAGCAGCCAGCCCGGCTCTCTCTCTAGCTTTACATCCCTCACCAGGGTGCACACCACAGTCTGACAATAATTACAAACCCTGGAAAAGTATTTATGCTTTCCACAAACACCACCAGCCAGCTCCCTCACACTAACCCACCACGACACCACAGCACAGACCAGCCACCTGCTTTGCTCAGTGCTACTCTTTCAGAGCTCACAGAGTACAGTGCCAACATGCCCGAGACTCCAGAATCTGAAAGCCTAATATACCTGAAAACAGGCTGCACCAGGATTGGAACTGCCTGGATGATGGTTGACTTGACTGGTTTCACAACAGCAGCTGTGGAGAGCTGTGTAGGAAACATTTCTGTTGAAATATACTCAAAGCGCAGTTTCACAGACATTGCTTCTCGTAGCCAGGCTGGCTTAACAACCCCAGCCTCGACCCAGCCTTTCTGCCAATGACACCAGAGTTGTGGGTATGATCGCCATATATTCCCGTGAGAGCTGGACTCAATGATCTTTGTGGGTCCCTTCCAACTGAGACAAATCTGTGACTCCTCTGTCAGCCACTCACTCACTCCCACCCCTGCTCCAGCACCACATGAGCCCTGACAGTTCTTTCTGCTGCTGAGGGTGACCAAATAAAGCAGCCTAGTAAAATTACCTTCAACAGCAGCAACAGTTCTACCACTTCACCTGAGGGCGCAGTGCCCGGCCAGGAGGGGAAAGCAGAAGTGAATGTTTTGCTGCTGTCCTATGTGCCTTCTCCCACTGTGAGCAGATGTTTCCAGTGGCGCTTTCCTACCACCTCATTCGAGTGCTGGACATGCCTGTCAGTGCAAGGAACAATAATTTTGACGTTCACCCAGTAAAGAGCAGAAGTAAGCAGACAGGTAACAGCCCTCATTTGTGCAAACCACTTTTCCAAGCACAGGCAGGCCCAGACATACTGAACAGTCCCATCCTACAACAGCCTGGGGAGCACCTATGGTTAGCAAGAGCTAGACAGGTTAACAAAACAGGGTAAAAGCGGGCTTACCAACTTGAGCAAAACTCAATATTCTCTGCAATAAATACTCCACCAAAACACACTTAACATCTGCCACACACTCAAGTCTTGATTTTTGCAAGCTGTGATGCAATCTGATAAATCAGTGGAATGGGCTATGAGAGTAATGTTAAGCACATGTAGCTGTTTACATACAAGACCAAGAAGTAAGAGAACCTATCTTGCCTACTGCTTTTATAGAGACAGTAAGATATTAAGAACAAATTTTCCACATATGTTTCCAAAAAGATCTCAAAGGCTTTAGGAAATACTTTGTGTTGTCATTAAAGTGAAGAGTTTCAGGATCACTGCCCAAAATAGCCTATGGTATTTTTAGATTATACAAACCATAGGCAAGTATCAAGCTTATCACAACAAAGAATTTCCTTTTGGGAGACCTCAGCAGAAATGCTAAAAATCAAAGGGGATAAGAGCACAATGGGCTAAAAAACCTGCATTCTTTAATGAAATGAAGACTTAGCAGCTTTTAATTTCTTCCTTCCTATCCAACAGCCTGGTGAGAGCGTCAGGGGAGAATGCGTGCCTTCCAGCTTGTCCACCCGAGCACAGGAATGTGCCTTGCTGAAGCTTCTTTTCATGGGGGCCTAGAGCAGCTAAGCTTTTCATGCACTGCTTGGTTACTTGACTATGAGCATTATCTGGGCCATAAGATTTGCAGATAATGCAGTCACTGAGCTGTTAACAGCAGCTCTATCAAAAACATCCAAACATCTACTCTCAGTGCTACAGGCAGCATCCAAGCAAACTGGACAGGCAAAGCAGCCAGCCTTGCATGAAAAAGATCCTGAAGCGGCTACACAGCTGCCCCTGCTTGGACTTTTGGTTTCTAGAATCTAGAAGATCTGGAAGAAATACAGAAATATTTTCTTAGTTCATGAAAACAAGAGATGTCTGATACCAGGTGTCCTGAGTGTTAGCAGCTGGTCTCAGACTATTATTGAAAACCTAGTGCTGTTTTGCATATGCATTTTCCAAAAGCTTCTTCAACGAGTCACATGATTACAAAGCTGTTTGTCCCTCAGAAGTAACTAAACTCACCAAAAAGAAGGTTTTATT